TAAAAAAATTGTTTTTCAATTTTCTTTCTAATGAAAGCTACAAAAGTAAAAAAAATGTTTTTCAATTTTCTTTCTAATGAAAGCTACAAAAGTAAAAAAAATGTTTTTCAATTAACTTTCTAATGAAAGCTACAAAAGTAAAAAAAATGTTTTTCAATTTTCTTTCTAATGAAAGCTACAAAAGTAAAAAAAATGTTTTTCAATTAACTTTCTAATGAAAGCTACAAAAGTAAAAAAAATGTTTTTCAATTTTCTTTCTAATGAAAGCTACAAAAGTAAAAAAAATGTTTTTCAATTAACTTTCTAATGAAAGCTACAAAAGTAAAAAAAATGTTTTTCAATTTTCTTTCTAATGAAAGCTACAAAAGTAAAAAAAATGTTTTTCAATTAACTTTCTAATGAAAGCTACAAAAGTAAAAAAAATGTTCTTCAATTTTCTTTCTAATGAAAGCTACAAAAGTAAAAAAAATGTTTTTCAATTAACTTTCTAATGAAAGTTACAAAAGTAAGAAAAATGTTTTTCAATTTTCTTTCTAATGAAAGCTACAAAAGTAAAAAAAATGTTTTTCAATTAACTTTCTAATGAAAGCTACAAAAGTAAAAAAAATGTTTTTCAATTTTCTTTCTAATGAAAGCTACAAAAGTAAAAAAAAATAATTTTCAATTTTCTTTCTAATGAAAGCTACAAAAGTAAAAAAAATGTTTTTCAATTAACTTTCTAATGAAAGCTACAAAAGTAAAAAAAATGTTTTTCAATTTTCTTTCTAATGAAAGCTACAAAAGTAAAAAAAAATGTTTTTCAATTTTCTTTCTAATGAAAGCTACAAAAGTAAAAAAAAATGTTTTTCAATTTTCTTTCTAATGAAAGCTACAAAAGTAAAAAAAATGTTTTTCAATTTTCTTTCTAATGAAAGCTACAAAAGTAAAAAAAATGTTTTTCAATTTTCTTTCTAATGAAAGCTACAAAAGTAAAAAAAATGTTTTTCAATTAACTTTCTAATGAAAGCTACAAAAGTAAAAAAAATGTTTTTCAATTTTCTTTCTAATGAAAGCTACAAAAGTAAAAAAAATGTTTTTCAATTTTCTTTCTAATGAAAGCTACAAAAGTAAAAAAAATGTTTTTCAATTAACTTTCTAATGAAAGCTACAAAAGTAAAAAAAATGTTTTTCAATTTTCTTTCTAATGAAAGCTACAAAAGTAAAAAAAAATGTTTTTCAATTTTCTTTCTAATGAAAGCTACAAAAGTAAAAAAAATGTTTTTCAATTTTCTTTCTAATGAAAGCTACAAAAGTAAAAAAAATGTTTTTCAATTAACTTTCTAATGAAAGCTACAAAAGTAAAAAAAATGTTTTTCAATTTTCTTTCTAATGAAAGCTACAAAAGTAAAAAAAATGTTTTTCAATTTTCTTTCTAATGAAAGCTACAAAAGTAAAAAAAATGTTTTTCAATTAACTTTCTAATGAAAGCTACAAAAGTAAAAAAAATGTTTTTCAATTTTCTTTCTAATGAAAGCTACAAAAGTAAAAAAAATGTTTTTCAATTAACTTTCTAATGAAAGCTACAAAAGTAAAAAAAATGTTTTTCAATTTTCTTTCTAATGAAAGCTACAAAAGTAAAAAAAATGTTTTTCAATTAACTTTCTAATGAAAGCTACAAAAGTAAAAAAAATGTTTTTCAATTTTCTTTCTAATGAAAGCTACAAAAGTAAAAAAAATGTTTTTCAATTAACTTTCTAATGAAAGTTACAAAAGTAAAAAAAATGTTTTTCAATTTTCTTTCTAATGAAAGCTACAAAAGTAAAAAAAAATGTTTTTCAATTTTCTTTCTAATGAAAGCTACAAAAGTAAAAAAAATGTTTTTCAATTTTCTTTCTAATGAAAGCTACAAAAGTAAAAAAAATGTTTTTCAATTAACTTTCTAATGAAAGCTACAAAAGTAAAAAAAATGTTTTTCAATTTTCTTTCTAATGAAAGCTACAAAAGTAAAAAAAAATGTTTTTCAATTTTCTTTCTAATGAAAGCTACAAAAGTAAAAAAAATGTTTTTCAATTAACTTTCTAATGAAAGCTACAAAAGTAAAAAAAATGTTTTTCAATTTTCTTTCTAATGAAAGCTACAAAAGTAAAAAAAATGTTTTTCAATTAACTTTCTAATGAAAGCTACAAAAGTAAAAAAAATGTTTTTCAATTTTCTTTCTAATGAAAGCTACAAAAGTAAAAAAAATGTTTTTCAATTAACTTTCTAATGAAAGCTACAAAAGTAAAAAAAATATTTTTCAATTTTCTTTCTAATGAAAGCTACAAAAGTAAAAAAAATGTTTTTCAATTAACTTTCTAATGAAAGCTACAAAAGTAAAAAAAATGTTTTTCAATTTTCTTTCTAATGAAAGCTACAAAAGTAAAAAAAATGTTTTTCAATTAACTTTCTAATGAAAGCTACAAAAGTAAAAAAAATGTTTTTCAATTTTCTTTCTAATGAAAGCTACAAAAGTAAAAAAAATGTTTTTCAATTAACTTTCTAATGAAAGTTACAAAAGTAAAAAAAATGTTTTTCAATTTTCTTTCTAATGAAAGCTACAAAAGTAAAAAAAATGTTTTTCAATTTTCTTTCTAATGAAAGCTACAAAAGTAAAAAAAATGTTTTTCAATTTTCTTTCTAATGAAAGCTACAAAAGTAAAAAAAATGTTTTTCAATTAACTTTCTAATGAAAGCTACAAAAGTAAAAAAAATGTTTTTCAATTTTCTTTCTAATGAAAGCTACAAAAGTAAAAAAAAATGTTTTTCAATTTTCTTTCAAATGAAAGCTACAAAAGTAAAAAAAATGTTTTTCAATTAACTTTCTAATGAAAGCTACAAAAGTAAAAAAAAATGTTTTTCAATTTTCTTTCTAATGAAAGCTACAAAAGTAAAAAAAATGTTTTTCAATTTTCTTTCTAATGAAAGCTACAAAAGTAAAAAAAAATGTTTTTCAATTTTCTTTCTAATGAAAGCTACAAAAGTAAAAAAAATGTTTTTCAATTTTCTTTCTAATGAAAGCTACAAAAGTAAAAAAAAATGTTTTTCAATTTTCTTTTTAATGAAAGCTACAAAAGTAAAAAAAAATGTTTTTCAATTAACTTTCTAATGAAAGCTACAAAAGTAAAAAAAAATGTTTTTTAATTTTCTTTCTAATGAAAGCTACAAAAGTAAAAAAAATGTTTTTCAATTTTCTTTCTAATGAAAGCTACAAAAGTAAAAAAAAATGTTTTTCAATTAACTTTCTAATGAAAGCTACAAAAGTAAAAAAAATGTTTTTCAATTTTCTTTCTAATGAAAGCTACAAAAGTAAAAAAAAATGTTTTTCAATTTTCTTTCTAATGAAAGCTACAAAAGTAAAAAAAATGTTTTTCAATTTTCTTTCTAATGAAAGCTACAAAAGTAAAAAAAAATGTTTTTCAATTAACTTTCTAATGAAAGCTACAAAAGTAAAAAAAAATGTTTTTCAATTAACTTTCTAATGAAAGCTACAAAAGTAAAAAAAAATGTTTCTCAATTAACTTTCTAATGAAAGCTACAAAAGTAAAAAAAATGTTTTTCAATTAACTTTCTACTTAAAGCTACAAAAGTTAAAAAAATGTTTTTCAATTTTCTTTCTAATGAAAGCTACAAAAGTAAAAAAAAATGTTTTTCAATTTTCTTTCTAATGAAAGCTACAAAAGTAAAAAAAATGTTTTTCAATTTTCTTTCTAATGAAAGCTACAAAAGTAAAAAAAAATGTTTTTCAATTAACTTTCTAATGAAAGCTACAAAAGTAAAAAAAATGTTTTTCAATTATCTTTCTAATGAAAGCTACAAAAGTAAAAAAATGTTTTTCAATTAACTTTCTAATGAAAGTAAAAAAATGTTTTTCAATTAACTTTCTAATGAAAGCTACAAAAGTAAAAAAGTACAAGCAGCAAAATCTATAATAGAAAATGTGAGATAAAAATGAAAAAATTTCTAAATTTAAAATTGACTTATCTTATCATGCTATAAGAAACCAAAACCTATCATGTGTTGAGATAATTTGAGATTTTTCACTTTTTTACATATATATGCTTTCACACATACATGCGCTTTCATATATTACATACATGTGCTTACTTTTCTTTAGAAATTTCTGATTTTCTGAAAAAACGATTTTGCATTGTAGTGGCAAGTACAATTTTAACTTATAAAAAAGTATTTGAAAAATAATCAACATATTTAGTTATCTAAATAGTAATTTTTATCTAAATAGTATTTTTTTTTTTTTTTAAAACTCAGTTGCCATGACATAGAGTATTCAGCAACAGCAACAGGACTCAATTTATACTGATCATAGCTTTGAGACATTTTTACAGTTTCATAGTCGGGTATGACTCTGTTACAGTAATCAATAAGACAATCTGATGGTTAGCATATTTGAGTAATAATGTTATATGATTTTGTGTAACTCAAGTAACCATTCAAATTCATTATTTAAGTAATAAATTTGTAATTTTTAATTATGTTCAATAATAAAAAAGCAATTCAATAAATGTTTAACCTAAATATACTCTACCGTAAATATACTCCACCGTAAATATACTTCGCCGTAAAAATTACTATTTTACTTGATTTTTGTGTAATGACAATGCACATAAATTTAATCCTCATCACTGCAATTTCATAGAGATTTTTTGTATTTAATATTTTTTTTCATTTCATTGGTATGAGTCTAGTTTTATTTCTAATTTGGAGCAGCTGATTAGTTTTTTAATTCCTTTTTTAGAACAGTTGGTTTGTTTTTTAATTTCTTCTTAGGGTAGTTGATTTGTTTTTAAATTTCTATTTTAGAGCAGTTGATTGGTTTTTTAATTTCTTTTTTAGAGCAGTTGGTTTGTTTTTTAATTTCTTCTTAGAGCAGTTGGTTGGTTTTTAAATTTTTTTTTTAGAGCAGTTGATTGGTTTTTAAATTTCTTTTTTAAAGCAGATTATTTGTTTATTAATTTCTAATTTAGAGCAGTCGATTGGTTTTTAAGTTACTTCAAGAAGAACATGCCAAAGACCAGAGTATTCCTTGTTTCGATAAGTAAATATATTTTTAAGTATAATTTATGATTATAATTGTTCCTTTATACCATGGGAGTAGAACGGGGGTAAATGCACCTACAGTGTTTTTTTTTTTTTTTAACTTTTTTAGTCATTTTTTAAATGAGTCTTCATCCCAAATTGTTTAAAGAATAGAATTATTTTAGGCCAAAGTTAAGCCTAGAATGGCTTCTTTCTTCATGAAAAATTGCATAGCAATGCACATGTTTTCCTAATTTTTATCTTAATTTTACTTTTACAGCTATTGATATTTGATTTTACACACACTTTGATAAATTATCTTAAATAAATTAACCAAGTATCGAATTTTAGTAGTTGTTAAACTTTTGTATTTAATGAGTCCAAGTTTACACAAAATTATTTTAAACAAATCATTTTACTTTTTAATTAATTTTCTTTAGGATTAACAGTGCCATGTTGTGCATATTTGCATCTCTAGGTGCTTTTAAATTGTATTGCTGACATCAAATTAGCAGCCTATTATAACAGCTTATTAATAATAATAAGTTAATTTATTAAAACTTATTAATACTGTTTAAAATAATGATAAATTTTTATTAAACTCAACATTAGTTAGCAGGGCTAACTCTTTTTAACTACTAGAATGGTCACATTAGATGATTTGCTGTAGTGGATATGACTGTCAAGGGAGATTTTAAAACATTCAACAGATCTGGCATGTTCAATTTTATCAGGAAGGGCATTTCGCTGCGTAACAATGCAGTTGTTAAAGAAGTTTTATCAGACAAGACAATTATAGTCTTTTTCTTAGTATGTAATAGCTATATAATGGAGAAATGCTAATATGGAGCCTTGAGATGATGTCAATTTTATACAATTCTGATGCTCCTCATTTTGTAGTTATAGGTTTTAACTTGTATGAGATTTTGACGCTGAACTTATTCATCAACATCTTTCTGGTGATTAGGTTTCCATGCAATAATGCTAAATTTGAGATAAGGGTGTACATAAGTGGTGTAAAGTTTTTTCCATAGTTTTGTGTCTCTGCTTATAAAAGTATGTTTTAGTAAACAAATATTTTCTCAGCATTGGGGGCCGAAATAAGAGGTTGGATTTGAATTTAAGATAGAGCGTCAGGTCAAGCACAGAGCCTTGTAGAACTCCACTTGCGACTTGTTTCCACTTGGATGATATGTCAACAAGTAAGATATGTCAACAAGTAGAACCCAGCACGGGTTCTATTTAAAAAAAGGCTTTAATCTAGTTTAAGAGATTACTTTCTATACCATAAATCTCCAGATTATGAAATCTTTTATACTGAACTTTAATGAAGGCTTTGGCACAGTCAAAGAATAATTTATCAACAGGAAGCTTAAGAGATACGTTATGGGTCAAAAAAGTTAATTTTTTCTAAAAATTTGTGACATGAATTTCTGTTTACAAAACTGTGTTGTCTGTCTGAAAAGAGTTCGTTTGATGTTAAGTTACATGATCTTGGCTTTTTTTTTCTTTATAAGTTCAACAGTTGCTGTTTAATTTATATTTTATTTCTCCTACTTTGAAGTTTTTGAAGGTTGATTATTATGATAGGTACAAAATTGTTTTATGAAATAATTCATTGGATCAAAGTTTTCTTGTGAAGTAATGGTGTGCGGTAGAGTGCTGTTAATTGCACAGCGACCTTGTTTTTAAAGGTTCGTATTTTTTAATAAGTTGAGAGAGGCAATTTAAACAGCAATTTAAAATCATTATTAAAAGAACTTTGTAGCTTCTTTGTTTATATACATATACATACATATATATATATATATATATATATATATATATATATATATATATATATATATATATATATATATATATATATATATATATATATATATATATATATATGTATATATATATATATATATATATATATATATATATATATATATATATATATATATATACATATACATATATATACATATATATATATATATATATATATATATATATATATATATATATATATATATATATATATATATATATATATATATATATATATATATATATATATATATATATACACACACACAAATATATACACTGTATATATATGTACACACATATATATTAGGGTGGCTTTTAAACAAGATTTTTGAAAAAAATCTGCTTTTTTCCCTTTATTGTGTTCTATATTATACAAATCACTAAGCTTAAAATTATTTTGAAAAAAAAGTTACATGGGGTTGCTCAAAATCCTTAAATATCAGGCGGGTCCCTTATATTGTTGATAAAAATATCTTCAAATCTATGTCAACCTTGTACTCAAAAGAAGTGAAATTAAATAAAAATTTCAAAAATGTTAGTAATTTTTAATTTAAAAAACATTATTATTAACAAACTTGTTGGTATTAATTTTTTTTGTTTCAAGTTAAAAAACCATAGGTTTTGTGCAATAAAATGTAAAATAATAATTTTTATTTTACATTTTATATTTAAAATATTTTAAAAGAAATTTTGCTAATAGCCTTTTAAATATTTGTGCATTAAACAATCTAAAATATTAGATAAAAATTTAATTTTATGGAAATCATTCATTGCAATTTATTCAATGGTTTGCATAACAAAAGGTATTTATATGAACATTAATCTCATTCAATAAAGGCAAAAAAAAAAATCAAAACATTAAACCCATAAAAGATTTTTTTTCATATGGTGAACTTTGATTTAAAAAATAAAAAAATTTAGTTTAACTAGAATTAGATAAATTCATTCATATATTCTTCTTTAAAGATCTATAAGTGTTTTCTACTTTAAAGGTCTGGCCATGTTTCTTTCTGTGTGGTCTAGCATAATATTTCTCCACATTGATGTGCTAAAATTAGTTTTCTATATTGATTTCTTTTATTCTTTATTTTAGTTCTTTTTGTTTTTATTTTTAAAATGTTTTATATAAAATAAAAACCTTTTTTTTAATAGTAATTACAAATAAAAAAAATTGTGTAGTTTTATTATTTAGCAAATAAACTTTTAACAGATTATTATTGAACATATAACCATTATTAGATGTTTTTAGAAATTCATATGAAAATAGTTTTATTGAATTTTGAAAAAACTAATTACAGTACCATTTTATTGTGTTAAACATATTAAGGAATGAAGGTTGACAATTTTTTCAAAAAAATACACCACAATTAACATATATGGATAGAAATTAACTTATTCTACCACTGTGTCACCTTAACATTACAATTTACTTCTACCTTATCTTATAACTACATCACCTTAATATTATTACTTACTACATTTAGCTCATCATTGCATCACCCTATAGTTACTACATTCTACTATCTTTATCTTACCACTGCAATTATCTTTATCTTTATCCACTGCAGTTATCTCTATCTTACCACTGCAATTATCTTTGTCTTACCTTAGGTTGTTATTGAAATAGAAACTCAAATATTTTGTAAAGACTTTTGTAGACTATAATTATAAATTTGTAGATCACAATTATAAATTTGTAGATCACAATTATAAATTTGTAGATCACAATTATAAATAGAATTTAAATTATTATATTTGATATTTTCAGGTGTTGTTTTTTTTCAATAATTTTTGAATTTCCAGACAATAGTAACTTTTCAAAATGTTTTTAAATTTGTTGATAATAGTTTTACTTTTTAAATAAATTCAATTTAATGTACTGTTCAGTTATTAATAAAAAGGAAGAAAAGTGCTCAAGATTTAACTTTATAATTAGACTGTTAAAAAAAATTGTATGCTCAAAGGTTTTCATTTTTTGATAGCTTTATTGTAAATATGAATGTTGATTGGTTATTTTATTGTAAATATGAATGTTGATTGGTTGTTTTTTTTGTAAATATGAATGTTGATTGGTTATTTTATTGTAAATATCAAGGTAGATTGGTTATTTTACTGTAAATATGAATGTTGATTGGTTATTTTGATTTATAAAGTTATTTTGACATTAATCAAATATAATTTGTGTTTAAATAGTACAAATAGTCAGTTTGCTAAATGTGCGACCAAAATTACTATATATGATAAAAAATTATTGTAACAGTTCTTATAGAACACCCACAAACAACATACAAACACCCAACACCCAAGCAACACCCACAAACATGAAAATATTTTTTATTTAATGTTAGTTTTATTTTAGTGATTTCATTACAAACCCGCATGTAGATCATCTTGGTTTTCTTCATTTAAAAAGTGAAGGACCAATTGAAACATTGTTATATCTCTGTGAAATATTAAAGTTTGCAATGAGTTCACAATTACAAGTAATTATTTTTGTTTTTTTAATTTTATATTTTATAATTTATTTGTTTAATATATATTTATTCGTATATATATTGGCACAATTTTTCTTATAGTTTTTCTATTTTTTATTTTATTAACCTTTCTAAAGCTCTGGGGACCACTGTAATTGAAAAAATTACTTTTTTTTCCCTCAACTTTTGTTATACCCCTCTCACAGCCTTATAAATTACAAACCTTTATGAACAAGGTTGCTGTGTGAAGAAACAAGTTAGTGTAATACTGTTTGAGTACTGAGGGCTGTGGTGGGTTTGAACTGTGGTGGGTGTCAGTGCATACCATTTAGTTGTGATTGAAAGTTTTTTCTTTCAACAATATTTTAGTAGTTCTTTAACATGGCCACCACAGTTTAACATTACCACCAACAGTGGCCACCACATATTATTTACTGACCACCATAGCATTTATTCTTTTGATTGTTAATTAGGCAGATGATGAACAATATCAAAGGTGGTTACTCTTTAGTGCGCATTCTAAATCTAAAACTTATATTCTAGATGATGTAAGTTTTTAACTTTAATTAATAAAAAGTAAAATTTAATTTTTTGCGATAAAAAATTGTCAGTCTTTAATCTTAATTGTCTGTTGTTGTTTTTCAGCCTGACTTAGCTGATTTGATTCAATATGGAATACCCCATCAATTTAGAGCACAAATATGGCAGCAGTAAGTCAAATATTTTGTTAAGGATACATTTTATTAGGTGACTCAATATGCCATTGAAAATGTATAACATTCATTCACCGTAATGTTGTAGTATGTGTTGCATGGTTGTTGTATGTCTGTTGCATTGTTGTTGTATGTGTTGCATAGTTATACCTGGAAAAAAGTTCAAACTGAAATAAACTCTTCAACTCTTTTGCACCTAAATTTGATTTTTTTAATTTATTAATTTTTTTTCTAAATTTAATATTTATAAAATTTATATACAATACTGAAAGTTAATGAATAGTGTTAGAAGGCATTTTATTAACACCATTTATAATGACTATAAATGACTGAAAGATATATTCATCATCTTGAAAAAAAAAAATAAATCTGACTTTAAAGCATTATGAATTCTAAAAAATACTAATCAAGAGATAAGACTATTTATAAGAATACTTTAAGAAACTAAGTGCATTTTGCAAGATACTACTAAAAAAAACTTAATAGTGCATTCTAAAAGAGACTACTATAAAAGCTTTAAAGTTAATTCTGTAAAATACTACTATAAAAGTTTAAAATTACATTCTGCAAGATACTACTATAAAAGCTTTAAAGTTCATTCTGCAAAATACTACTATAAAAGCTTTAAAGTTCATTCTGCAAGGTACTACTATAAAAGCTTAAAAGTAGTTCTGCTAGGAAAATAAAGTACTTAAAAACCAGAAAATCTTCAAGATATCAGAAGTTATCAACAATTTAGAAAGAACCAAATATTTTAAAATTTTACCATAAAATCAAACTATAATAAAATAAAACAAAATAAAAATATAAACTTATAAAACTTAGTAAAATATAAATATGCAATTATTATTTAAATAATATTTTAGATTTGTTTTTAAAAAACAGTTATTGCAAAACTTTTTTCACATTTTTCACAAAAATATTTCACAAAAATTTGAAGTTTTTGTATTTCCCAAAATGGTTTTTTTGGTAACCACAAAATCAATACTTTTGTCACTGAGGGTGACAGCTTATAACAAAATCTTTTCCTTCATTCTGACATTAATTGAAATAGGTTTTCAAACCTTTAACAGTTGACTACCTTGAAAATTTTTAAGATTTTTGGGATAAATTATTTGGGTTAGCCAAAATTGAAAATTATTTGGGTAAGCCAAAATTTCATCTACAGTCAATATCTTTGATGTTTTCCAAATATTCAAACTTATTTTTATCACATTACTTTTAAAGTTTGTTTATAATGGCCTACTTAGTTATTTAGTTTGTTTTTAATGACCAAATATAAACTTATCAAAATATAAAATCAAGTAGTTTTGGTTAATGGCTTTACTTTTCAAATCCATTTTGACAAAGATACATTAACAAACTGTTTTGGTGCGAAAGAGTTGAATGTTCAATGTTCTTATTACATTTTTATTTTAATTTTAAGTTTACTATGTTTAGGTTGATTGAAAATCATGTTGCAAATATTCAAGTAGAAAAGGTCAGTTATCTTTATGTGTTTATCTACTTACTTACCTAACTACATTTTGTTGTTTTTGCTTTAAACTTAAACGCATTTAAAGTTAAATTAAAACAAACAGTTTAAGTTAAAGCACATGTTTTTTGTGTTTAAGTAAAAACACATGTTTTTTGTGTTTAAGTTAAAACACATGTTTTTTGTGTTTAAGTTAAAACACATGTTTTTTGTGTTTCAACTAGTAATCTATATACTTATATACTACACATTTACATTTTGTTATTCCCACAAAGTTAAATTTTTTTTTATTGTTAAATTGCAGAACTATTAAAAATACTTGTTTCTTTGCAAATGTCATGTATTCCATGAAAATCTATTATTGTATTATTGCATTGTATAATTGTATTGTTAAAAATTCAACTAAACATCAGCTTTAGTTAGTGCTTAGGTATTATCTTTAAAAGATTTTTTTTTTCTTTTTTGAAACTTTTTTTTATTCTTTTTTTAAACTTCTTTTTTTTCTTTCTTTTAAGCTTTTTGAAATAGTTGAACAAGCATTTCAGAATATTTTTTATCAAATATTTTTTAAAACAAACTTTTTAAAAATATATTTATAAATTAAATAACATTTTCAAATTTAATAAATATTTGCATTATAATTTGATAACTATAAATATTTTAATTTTAATAATCTATTATAAATGTTAACACTTTCACTTTCAAATAAAACCCAACAAATTTCTTGGGTAAAAATGAGCTGTTTTTGCATTCAATCAAATTAATTTGAGAAATACTTTTTTACTTCAAACTTCTTTTTTTGTCAATGGTTACTCTTTATGAAAATCTTTTTTTTTTTTCCTCCATTTTTTTTTTTTCACATGTAATATGACAAAGAACTTTGAAGCAAATATATATTTTTATATGCTATTATGCAATACACAAAAAACAAATTAGAAAGTTTTGCATAAAAATTGCAGCAAGAGTAAAAAATATAATCATTTTTGTGTCCAAAAAGAATAAATGGTGTACAGAAAATAAACAATTAATACTTTCTAAGTAAAAATGAGAAATGAATCTTTAGGCTTTAACGTTTATTTGCACTTAATAAATTTTAAAACAAGACCAAAATTTGAAAAACTTTATTTCTACTTTTGTTATGTCAGTAGTCTTTGTTGTTTGTGAAATGAATTCGTTCTCCCAGTCTAAATCTTCATACACGTTAAAATCATCACTATTCAAAAAATTATCTAATAAATTATTTAACAAAAAATTTTAAAGGTGTTCTTTAAAGGTTTTTTGCCTGAAAAAATTGGAAGAGACTGAAATAATTTTGGTTGCAAGGTTATACCCAAAAATTGCTAGAATCAAGTTGAATAAGGAGATTGTTAAGTTGAATAGAACTTTAGTTAATTGAGGTGAGTTTTTTATTTGAGTTTTAGTAAATTTGAGATTTAATACAGAAAACCTGAAGCAACAAAAGAAACAAATCCTTTGGTCAAAGAACTATTTAATTTTAAAACAACAATTTAGCATTTTGACTTAAACCTGGGAAAAACGCTCCAAATGACCACGGTTTACTGCTCCATAAATCATTACTGATAGTAAAACAACTGTCATTTTTTAACAGGTATCTAAAATTGTAAGATATCTGGGGAAAAAGCAGGCAACATAATCTTATTTTTAGAGTTTTTATTTTATTCAAAGGAGTACCTTTTTTTCTCTAACCAGTTGCTTTTATCAGTTCAGTTATTCAGTTACTGAACTTGTCGCTATACATACACGACACAAAACATTTTATGTTAAAACACAGCATGTAATCAAAAAACAACAGATTATGAGCTTTAAATTTAAATTTTCTCAAAACATAAAATCATAAAACTTGACCAGACTAAATGAAAATCATTAAATTTAAAAATTAATTAGTTAAATTACAGTTATCCAAATAAAATGCAACAGTTGATGTATTTACACCATAGGAAACAAGCTTATGGAGAAGACCAGCATGCGAAACTTTGTTAAAAGCTTTATATGTATAAATATATATATATATATATATATATATATATATATATATATATATATATATATATATATATATATATATATATATATATATATATATATACATACATATACATATATTGATATATATTAGGGTGGGTTATATATACTATATATATGTTATGTATTTGATTATATATATATTTTATAATTTATAATTTTGTTTATTTATAATTTTTATTTTGTTTGCAAAACTATATCTTTATCTATTCAAATAGTATATTTATTTTTTAATAATCAATTAATAATATATTAAATTTTTTTATTTTTATAAAGAATGAGTTACAACCTTAAAGAATTTTTTTTTTTTAAACCATTTATCATTTTCAAAATTTTTTTATTATATAAAATGGTCCGATAACAAACTTGAGATTTCAACATAAAAAAAACCAGCTTCATTCTGCTTTTTTAGTTAATAAAAAAATCAAATCAAGAACAGAATTCAAATTCATTTAATTGAATATTGTTGAAATTTGAATGATCTGCGAATATATTGCAATACTGTTTTAATCTTCCATAATCTTCAAAAACATCAAAGTAGAAAGTTTTTATTAGCTAAGCAAAAATTGAGTTAGAAAAAAAAAGTTAGAGGCCTAACATGACAACAAATGACAAACAACAAAAACATTTTTTTGTTCTCTTTCAAAAAATAATACTATAAACAAACCAAAAATTTGGTTGATGCTTATAAGTTATTATACGCTATTATTGTCTGTAATTTATTTAATTAAATATTGTTGCAGTCTATTTCAAAATAAAAAAATATGTTTATTACAACACCCATTTCAACAGAATAAATCCGAAAATTATAAAAATAATCCGTACAATATAGATATGTGAAATTGTTTCTTAACCAACAAGTTAAATATAAGCGAAAAAAACTCCAACAGCTCGACAAAAACTCTCGACTCTTAACAAAACAAGTTAATTAAAATAAAATTTGTTTTTAAGTTTGTATTATAAAGTTAAACTAAGAGTAAATATATAATATAAAAGTAGTACAAGTAGTAAATAAGTTTTATAACTAGCCATGCATAACTAGTTATACAATAACTTACATAGATATCTTTTTTTATTTTAATATTTGTCATTTATTCACATTCAACAATCTTGACTAGTAATGGTCACTAGCCATTCATCAGACACAATCTACAGACATTTTTATCATACAAAAAAAATCACGAATGAACTTAAAGTAATATCCATTTTAATATTTTATGACAAAAAGTAAACAAGCTGTGTGATGAGGAAGTCACATGTGTACAAAAGAACTTCTTTGTTTGACTGGCACTAGCGATTTTAACATAACAAAAAAGTAAATATTACTAAAAAGTAAATTAACCACAATCTAAACATTTAAAGATATAAATATTTTTTATGTCAAGATTGATTAATGTAAGAATAAGCTACAAGCTATAAGCTACAAATTGATTCGAGTTCTGGCTGGTTTTGACACTAATTTTTGTTTACTTTTCATTTTTTAATGTTTAGAATCACAATGCTGTAATAAGTAGAACTATTACAGTATTTTAATTTCAATGAAAACAGTTTTTAACGGTTGTTATTTAAATAAAAAGTTTTTAATTAAATTTTTCTTCAAAAGCCAAAGTGAGAACTTGTTGTTATTAATTTATTGTTATTATTATACATATTTATCAATATTATTAGTTTATAATATTATATTATAAATTTATAAATCATGGTATCATTTAGTTTGCGATTAATAAAAATGAAAATAAAGTGGTGGGAAAATGTTCTCTCTATAAAAATTTAATTAAATGGAAGTTTACCCTTCAAGCAGATGGTTTTAAGATGGTTTAAAGAGTGACGTGGATTTCACTCACACAATCTTTTCACTTAAGAAGTAGAATTGGTTGAATATTCGTGAAAAAGTTGAAATAAATGATTTAATTTGCTTTTTTTTTTTTTTGCATGATTTCCGCAGATATTTTTTAGTTTTAATTTTTTTCAATTTAATTATTTTAAGCTTTAAACATTAAAACTTGCTAAAATAAAAAAGCTAATAATAAGAAAACATGTCAATCATTGTATAGAAAATGGAAAGCTGTGTAAATATTAAAATATATTGTAAGTTTTTAAAAATTGTGTATTGTAGGTTGTTAAAATAAAAAGTTTTTATTTTGAAGTACATAGTATAAAACAAGCCCCCTGTATCATACAAACATTAATACCATTTACACATGTACACACACACGCACACACACACACATGCACGCACATAAACACACTAGCACAATTCAACAACTTATAATAAAGTACAATAGGTTTAATAATTGATGGTTTCTATGTTGTTGTTTTTTAGGGTAGTGATTATTATTTGAAGTTGGTTGACAGGTTGTCAGATATACAGGTAGTCCTAAAAGTACATAATATATTGTATGCATATATATATATATATATATATATATATATATATATATATATATATATATATATATATATATATATATATATATATATATATATATAAATATATATATATATTTATATATTAGTTATATACACACATATACATATTTTTTTTATTACTTTGGAGGCTAATATAGTATTCAACTCTCTCTCTCAGGAGTTCTGATTTAGTTTACTATGGGAGCTATTCAATGAAGATGATTTATGCTTAATTGCAGAGGCAGAAGAAAAATTATAACTGCAAGGGTTGAATTAAGCAATTGCAAATTGCCGTATCTGAAAAAATATCTGGTTTTCAAAATTTTAGTTTTTTCAAAACCGTGTACTTTTTTTCATGGGGTGAATTAACTTAAGTTAGCAAAAACGTTATAAAAAACAAAACAAAAAACTTACGACTACAAAAGTAAAAACACATTAGTCACTAACTGCATTTTAAAAGTAATAACACTATAGTCAGTAACTGCATTTTAAAATTAATAACACTATAGTCAGTAACTGCATTTTAAAAGTAATAACACTATAGTCACTAACTGCATTTTAAAAGTAATAACACTATAGTCACTAACTGAATTTTAAAAGTAATAACACTATAGTCACTAACTGCAATTTAAAAGTAATAACACTAACTGCATTTTAAAAGTAATAACACTAACTGTGTTTTAAAAGTAATAACACTATACTATTGTTATTACTTTAAAACTCACTTATAACTCTTATATTTCATTCTTTGTTCAACATAAGTTTTTATATATAATATAAGTTATCCCAAATTTAACTGAAGTAGATAAAGAGTGGACATTCAAATAATTTTAAAAACTTCTGAAACTTATGCAAATATGTACTTTATAGCACTGATCTCAAAATTTAACTGGATAGCGGATTCTATTGTTTTTTCCGAAAAAAGTTGAAGCCAAAATTGGCCTCCCAAGATGGCGGCGATTTTAGTTCCTAGTGGTAAAACCGATATACATTATATTTTACTTTATCAAAATACAAAAAAAAAAAAAAAAAAAAAAAAAATTAAACAATTTTGTAAACTTGTAAGAAACAGAAGAAAATAATGAATTTTATAATTAATAATAAAAAAAAAGGAATTATCTTTTTTTATAATTGAATTTATTATTAAATGGCATTAGTAAAATTTACAATTTTAGTTTTATGTATAATTTATGTACCTTTTAGTTCTTAGCTACCCAATGCTGTATGCTAGAAAGTTAATAACATAACAGCATGTTAAGCAGCAATCATGTCTACCTATAATTTTATATTCTCTATTTTTTGGAACAAGATACCAATTTGTAAAAATGCTGCATGAACTATTAATTGAGAATTGTGAGTACACAGAAACTCAAGAGTTTCTTCTAGAATTATATTATACTTGAATGTTATTATTGCATAAATTGTCACTTGTACTGTTAAAAAAACAGGTCTGAATTATGTTATTTATAACAAATTTTAAAACAAATAAAAAGTTAATGATCATTTCTTACTTAATTACTCAATACAAATAAGGATGCAAATGTATGTAAAAATACATTTGTTTGAAAAAAATGTATTAATTAAATCTTTAATATAAAAATAATCAAAACATCTCTTTGAAATATCTTCATAACTAAAGTTATATATACTGTTTACCTGCTGTTAAGTATTATGGTTATATGCTATAGTTTGGTGACTTTTATGTTAATTAAATGCATGTTGCAGTTAAACAATTTTATAAATTTTTATAATATTGTCTGGTCTAAAAACTGGTTTTATTGGATAGTTGGTAGCTATTAAATCTGTTTAAGATATATTTCTAAACTGAGTGGGAAAAGTAGGTTAAAATTATAAATAAAATTATTATAAACCATAAAATTATTAAATATATAAGCTTTTTATTAGAGCTGTGCGGGAATGTTTAACAACAATATCAATTGCCAATAATTTACAGCCACGTATATATCTTCATCTCACATATATATGATCTTGAGCGTTCAATATTAAAATGGAATAATCACAAATATCTACATAATCTTGGTAATATTGACCACGATTATGCAGATATTCCAAATTGCAGCATTCTATTTGAATTCAAAAAATTTCATAGATTGCTGGATAAACAGCTAAAATGATATAAAATAAATAATCTGCATTAAATGTATATATTTATATTTATACAATATGTATATAATATGTATATATGTATATATGTATATATATATATATATATGTATATATATATATATATGTATATATATATATATATATATATATATATATATATATATATATATATATATATATATATATATATATATATATATATATATACAAACATATATGTGTGTGTAGTGATTTTAGAAGAATACAACCAAATAAAAAATAATATACAAATTACATATAAAAAAATTCTAGAAGGAACCCCTGAGTTGTGTATACTCACAGAGCTCAGCTAATAGTTCATGCAGCATTTGTAAATTTATAATATCTATTTAAAAAACTAATTAAAAGTTTATCTTAAAAAGATATTCAGCTGCCTACCATGCAGTTATGTTATTAACCTTCTAGCACACAGCATTGGGTAGTTAGGAACTAAAAGGTACATAAATTGCATAAAAAGCAATATTAAACAATTAATTTATGGTAAAATAAATAAATGTTATAATATACCATTTATTTACTTTTCATTTTAGTTTTACCATAAATAAACTTTTTATCTGTATATCATATAAAAATAAAAAATGATTAAAATGATTTAAGTCTTTCACATTTCAAACATTTATTTTAGTTGTCTAGAAAATGTTAATAACTACTAGAGTCTTATTTTAATTTACTAATAGGTTATAACTAATTATAACTAATAACTAATAGGTTATAACTAGTAATAAGCTATTAATAATAGGTTATCACTAGTTATATAGAGTAACCTAGTAGTTTATCTACTAGGTTTTAGGTACTATTTTTTTGTGTGCTCTTTACTAATGTTAAAATAAACTAGTTTCTAATTAATTTAACTAAAAATTTTTATCCTATTTAATCAAATTTTTTACAAAAAAAAAAAAGATTTAATGACAAACAAACTTACTGTTTAGAAATTACTTACTGTTTAGAAATTAAATAAAATAAACTTACTGACAAACTTACTGTTTAGAGTATATTTTGTTAAACAAAATATTATAAATATTTTAGAAATTTACGTAAATATGTAATATTGTTGCTATGTAAAACCAAAAATTATATTTGTATTTGAGACTTGTACATTTATTTTTATATAAAAAAAGATATAAATGTTCGTTACGAAAATTTCTAAATTTGTAATAAACAAATACGCCACCATCTTGGGAGGCCAAAACTGGCTTCAAAATATTTGCCGTATACGCTATCCAGTTATATTTTGAGATCAGTGACTTTATAGAAAGTTTAGCACTTCTAAAATATTACTAATTGTTGGTAAAAGCGTGCATTAATTTTAAAATCAACTATTAATACTTTTTTATTAGTTGATTTTGAAATTAATGCCCATTTTTTTGGACAATTAGTCACAATTTAGAAATGCTTAACTCTTTATAAAGTATTTATTTTCATAAACTCCTGAAGCTTTCAATATTATTTAATTATTCATTCTATCTTTTTAGATGCATTTCTACTTCAAATAAACTTTTGGAATACTTAGGTTGTTTGAACAAAGAATGAATTATAAAAGTTATAAGTGCATTATAAAAGTAATAATACTATTATAGTGTTATTTCTTTTAATAATGGTTTTGCATAAACTAAAATTTTGAAGACCAGATATTTTTCCAGATATCACATTTGCGATTGCTTAATTCAACCTTTGTAGCAGTTATTTGTTACTAATTAGTGGTTGGAACTTGGCATTTCTTGCTTATGAATCTAGAGCACTACCAATACATGAATTCAATCATTATTTATTTCAATTGAAATAAATAATGGTTGAAAGATAGTGTGTTATTAAGTTTTTTTGTTTCAGAGACTCGATTCGATAAGAGTAAAATGTTCCTGGAGCCAGGTGCAGAGACCTATTTTCACTTCTAACAGCCAGAAGTGTTAAAAGTTAACATAGCATAGTTTTGTGGTATTGATAAATAGGCAATGAAATATAACAAATAACAATTAAGATATAAGTATATAAACAAATAAAAAATTAAACAAAAAAATAATAACAACTTGATGGTGTCCAGTGTCTGGAAGAAACAGAGAGGATTATGGTTAGATAAATGTAAACAAATAAAAAATTAAACAAAATAATAATAACAACTTGATGGTGTCCAGTGTTTGGAAGAAACAGGGAGGATTATGGTTACTAAAATGTATAAAAATAAGTCTTGATATAAAAATAAGTCTTTAGTCAAAAATTGAGAATAGTGTTTATCATAAGAGATTAAGGTGGTTAAAAAAAGAAGGTGCCCAAGGAGAAATAGAGTTAAACAAAACCTTTAACTGGTGTTTAAATGTTGAAATAAATAATAGTAGTATTATTAATAATATTAATAATAGTACTATTATTAAATAATGCAAAATAAATATTATGCAAAATAAGTTTATATTATTAATACTATTAGTACTAATATTAGATAAATGAAAAAAATACTAAAACAATGATAAGAATGATGATATACACACTTAAACACACACACACCCAGTTTTTAAAGTTATTATGTGTTTACTTTTTGTATTTTAAGATATTTTTCATTTATAATGTTTATATTTAGAAAATTGAAACAGAAGATGATGAGCCTATTGAAAAACAGATAAAAATTGATCTTCTGAGAACAATGCCTATGCATCAAGACTTTAGAGCCCTTGATCAGCCTAAGGTTATTTTTTAGTTTAACATAGTATAGTATATATTCAGTTATAGATAAGTATATATTCAGTTATAGATAAAAATTTTATTAAAAATATATTTTTTAAGTTTTGATAAATATTTACAACATTATAATTGAAAAAAAAAATAGTTAATGGAATATCTTACTATATAAAAATCTACAGAAAATGGTGTCAAAAAATATTACATAAATACAATCAATGTTTGCCTGATAGTTAATCATATAGCTTTCTCAAACTCGAGTATGAAATTAATTTTAATCCAACCTGATAAGAACATAGATTATTTCTTACCCTTTCTGAGATTAATTTTTTTTTGCTGTTACACAAAGAGTAACAAGCAAAATTTATTAATATAACTTCTGCATTGTCATTGTTTATTAAAACCAAGGCACCTGTTCTTTTTAGAAAATCTGTTAATTATATTGTTAACATTAGGAAATATTTATTACATTAGATTTATTTATAAATATACATTAAAGCTAAACCATAAAGTTGATCTTCTGTTATGTATATATATGTATATACATATATATATATATATATATATATATATATATATATATATATATATATATATATATATATGTATATATATATATATATATATATATATATATATATATATATATATATTTATATAATGTATATATATATATATATATATATATATATATATATATATATATATATATATATGTATATATATATAATGTATATATATATATATATATATATATATATATATATATATATATATATATATATATATATATATATATATATATATATTTATATAATGTATATATATATATATGTATATATATATATATATATATATATATATATATATATATATATATATATATACATTGTTTTTGTATAGTCCTTTAACTAGACAAAACAGAAATACTTCTCCACATTCAAATAAAATTACAGGAAGTTTTTCTTATATCATTAAAGCCTAATATTATCAAATCTATGAAATGATATTGATTTAAGTTTTAAAAATAATTTGTCCCATAAAAACTTATATATAAACATCTCAAATATAAAGATCCACTTAAGGCATTAGTATTGTATGAACTGCATAAAAAACAGAAAGTTTTAATCTGTTGGCTCTACTTTACTTAAGTGAAGACAACAGATTAAAACTAAAGATAAAATTCAGTAAATAAATGCATCAACCAAAGTAACTATTTTTACTTAGACACTATCTCTAGCCTTTAACTTCTAGCTTTTGCCTGGAAATTTAAGTTTTACACGGTAGCATGATATGGCGCAGGTTGTACTGGATTACATGTTAGTAACAGCTAAGTTTATAAATTTACTCTATTTTTTATAAATGAGTGATCATGATGATCCTAATTTATAAAAAATAACAGCCATACTTCTTCAAAAAACAAAGCAGCCAAGCTTTATCAAAACAAAATACCTCCAAAAATGTTTAATATTTACGCAGTATTATTTTGTATTAAAAGTACTTTTCCTCTATTTTGAAAATGTCTTTTAGGTTTTTTTAGATCTGAAATACTGAAAAAAAAAATTTAATTTTTAATTCTAATTCTTGCTGAACAAGTTTATCATTGATTTTAACTTGGTGCAAGTCTTGATTGTTTTTACGATCTAGATTTTTTGTTCTTTTTTTCTGTTTTTTGTTCAGTTTATGCTTGTGCACTTTTAACTTGTTTAAGTATAAAAAAAGTTTGTAATAAATTTATATCTGATAGGCTAATTGCTTGGTTTATATATCTAGTTGTTTTTTTATTGTTATTTTATTGCTAATTTGCATTATATCTTTATTACATTATTACAAATAATTCTAATTTCTTAATACTAAAGTAATTTATTATTATTTTTATTTTCATTATTATATGTTTTTGAGTTTTATAAGCAAAATATTAGCAAATTTTATATTTACAAATTTTTTTGTTTAAATTTATTTTTCATAGGTTGCCACATTGCATAGAATTTTGAGAGCATTTTTGCTACACAATAAAGATGTTGGGTACTGTCAGGTAAAACTGCAATATAATATATATATACAAAAAAAGAAAAGAAAAAAAATGAAACTGTTACAAATACAATTAATTAAAATTATTACTAATCCCTTTTAATGTTGTTGACTTTGTTTTTTTTTTTTTTTTTAAAGGTTTAATGACATTATGCCAAATTTTGGTAATATCTTTTTTTAATTAGTTTCAAAATGACATGGGCTCTTCCTTAACATGAATTTGGTTGACTATTATTGTGACCACAGTATTTCTTGAAGGTGTTGTATTCAGCCAGGTTTTAGATTAAATTCCTCCTGCTCGGAGTTTGGGAGCAGAGACTATGAATTAAATTTTTCAATGTTTACAGTTATTAGGCTGGTTTTGTATAGTTACAGTCATTAAGCTGGTTTTATATAATTCAGTAATTTATTTGGTCTTTCGTGAAATGAAGATTAAATTCATTTCATACAATGAAGATTCATTGAGATTACTTTTAGTTGTTGAGTTTTTATTGCAATATTCACACCCATTGAACTTGCTTTACAATATTTTTTATAATTTTATTATTATACAATGATTTATTGCTATTTACAATATTCGTGGTCATTTAGCTATCATTACTTAATTAAATTTGATGTTTCAACAATGAATTCGAATTGAATTCTTATTGTATAAAAAATTATAATAAAACATAAGTAGCAGCATCATACTTACTAATTTATTTTATTTATTTTATCAGATAGCCTAGACAGGCTTGGTCGGGAAGCGGGTGCGATCGCACTCGATATATTTGACCACGGAAATTATATTTAGTTGCGAAAAGCCGGCCAGATTTTTTAGGCGTTTTGAGAACATTTCAAAAACAAGCAAAAAAGCGCAATAAGATAAACTGGACCGATGAGAGACAGTTAAAAAAAAAAAAATAGCTTTTAACGCAAAACTTTAAGCAAAATAAATACGATTAGAGTTTCAAAATATTTTTGAAACGTCGCTCTTTTATAATTTTTTTTTTAAAAAAAAGCGACATTTTTTGTATATAGTAACAACGTACTAAGAATGATTGTTTAATAAAGAAACAAATGTTCTTCAATTTATCAAAGATTATATATAATTTTTATTTATATACTTATGTCTTATTTCCAGTGCTGGAAATAAGAGGTGGGGGGAGGGGGTAGAAGAGCTATAGTCCCGGGACACACAATGTTATGGGCCGAGAAATAGTCAAGAGGACCTATCGGTATTTTTAAGTCATTTTTACGCTGTCGCACATAAAAAAGGCCACCAAAATAATGCAGCCCCCGGCCCTGTAAAGTCCAACAAGATTTAACCAATAAAACTAACGCTACATAATTTAATTATAAATAAAAAAAGTTTTTTCAGTACCTGTTTTATGCTTCGCGTAGTTTGAAAAGTTTAACATATTTTAAACAATTCTTCTTAGTAAGATGAACAAATGAAATAACTAAATCATTAAGTTACTGTGGAAATTTAATTAGCTAGATAGAAATTAACTAAAAACGTTAAATTACTTTGTAAGGAGGAAGCGGAACTGCTAAACAATATCGCTGATGATGTTTAGTGAGTGGGCTTTATATCTTTAACTAGTATTTTACAGAAAAAAAAACTTTAAGTGTAAGTATAACGAGTTTGTAAGAATGGCTGAAGCAAAAATAATTGAAGTTAATAAACCAATTTCTAATACATTACATACATATAAATACATCCCTTATATATAAAAAATAAGATTATACTAATTAAATCTATAATATATTTACAAAACGTTGACAAGTTAAAAAATATAAATTTAAAACATTTATTTTTGTAAACAAATGTTAGTTTAAAACATTTATAGCTTTATGGATGTGACTCCGAGAATGAGCCATTGTATTAAAATAATTGTTCGTTTGATAGTATATTCTTAAAACAATTGATGCTAGAATTCTCAACGAAAAAATAACAAAAACAAAAAAAAAAGATTTTGAAAAATAATTCAACAGAATACTCTAGAACAGTCGCGTAGTAATTTCAGTTATTTATTAACTGAACTAATAGAATTAGTTGTTCGTAAATTTGGCGGGTTTTTTGTGTTCGCGAATATTCTTTATTTATTTTTCCGCACTAAGACGTTTGACAACATTCAAGTTTATATAAGTTTCCATGTACGTCCGTAAAAAAAATTTTTATAAATTTACGATAAAATGAACTTATTATTTTGCGAATAAACAAGGAAACATACATAAACTGAAATGTTCTCAAAACGCCTGAAAAATCTGGCCAGCTTTTCGCAAGTAAATATAATTTCCGTGGTCAATTATCGAGTGCAATCGCACCCGCTTCCCGACCAAGCCTGTCTAGACTATCATATAGATAGTTTAGACTGTCATATAGATTTTCAGACTGTCATCAGAATAACTCAGTTCATTGTCAAACTTGAAATAATAATAATAGTAATCCATGAGAAAGTGGGATATGCATGTAATCCACCATCTCAGACTTGATCTTCATACTTTGTAAAAATGGCCCTTTTTATTACATAGGTAACTTGATATCAAATAGATTCTTGAGATATTGTTATTTCAAAATTTTTAAAAACTTTTCTGCTTGGTAGCCAATTTGGTTTTATTATACTTTTTAAAAGTTACTATTAAACTATAGTTTTTAAGACAAGGAATCAGAATATGATGTTAAATTATTGCTTTAATTGCTTTCTATAAAAACAATTAAAGCAATATTATCAATATGACAATAGTTTATTTTAGAAATTATAATAAAAGCAGAATGGAGGCTTGGTAACTATAGTAGCTAAGTTATTATTTTTTTTTTTTTATATTAGATATTTTAAAGAATGTTTTGGTTTAAATTGAGAGGTGGTTTTTTGAGGGTTTTCATAAATAAACAAATTATAATGAAAAAATATGGATGAATGTAAGAAATTACTTATTTTGAGAATTTCTAATATAAAAAAAATTCCATTGTTGGTAGTTAAAACAAAAAATTTGTTGCCTTATAAAATAAAATTTAGGTACTATGACTGAGTTAATTTTAATATTGGATTTTAGGTAAATCATCTGTATCAATCTGGTATGTACACTGTATGTATGGTTTTTTTTAGTCATAATTAGGATATGAGGTTTTTTTATCATAATTAAAATATGGGGCTTAGGAACCCAACAATAATCTTTGTTACACTTGACCAGTGTAACAAAGTGTTAGGTAAATGAGGATGCATGAATTTTACAAGGATGTCTTCATTTTTTAATTAGTTCCACAAAATTTTGAACTAAATGGTGGAAACTTCTTGTACCAAGTAAGGTCTTTACATTATTTATTTGAAGTTAGTTAGATGTTAAAGACAAGCATTAGAAACAAGTCTTTTAACTCTCAAACAATGTCATCATATGGTGAGTTTCTGTGATGTTGCAAAGAAATTGCATTTGCATTATATCATGCTCCAGCATGGTTGCACAAACTTAAAAAATGCAATTTTATACTGGTTAGCACAACTATCATAAAAATATTGGTATTTTGTGGTATTAGAAAACATTTCTTGCACAAATTTGACAGTTCTTTTTATTAATAACAAAAACAATCCAACATTATGTGCTAAGAAATCAGAACACATAAAGGCGTTAGTTAACTTTTATATCACCTAGTTATGTTTGATCTAAATAACTACAGAATGTAGTCTGCATTGGTTTAAGTGGTAATTCTAGATTTTGTTTTGTATGACAAATATGAAGTTTTCTGCAAAATCAACCAAAACAAAAAATTTTCATATGTGGGTTTAGATGTCTTCAATTTGTTCAAATATTTACCGTGTGCTTTAGTAATATAAGAATTGGATGCTATCAAGCTTTTCACAAAAGCATTCAATGAATTTATCTATTGTATGTGTAACTTCAAAACTCTACTCTATTTGTTGTACTCCATTGATCTTTCATTTTACAAAAGGTTTGCAGTTACATAATTTGGAATGAGAGAATTTGAGTTTGAATTCAACAAATATTTCCTTTAAATTGCAAAGAAGTACTTGCTTTGATATGTTTATTTTTGGATTATTTACAAAATTCTTTACAACAATTGCCAAGGGGTTGTCCATAAAGTATGTACGCTTTTTTTTTTTTTTGTCAATAACTCCTTCTTCAATTGGGCATCATAAAATTAAATGTCCATGTAATATAAAATGGGATCAAGTAAAAACATTAAAAGTAGAGCCTAAAAAAATTGAAAGAAAAGTTTGAGAGGCAATCGAAAGTCAGTTTAACAAATGCAGACTTTAGAACAGAGGCATTAATTTAGATGATGTTTAATATGTAAAAACGCAGTTCTAGACACCATATTTTTTATACATACGTAATATTAAAGAAGCCCTTTATTAATTAAAGCGAACTTTAAAGAAACCATTAAAAAGTGAGGTTACTGTTTGTTTGTTATGTATATATTTAGTAAAATTCTTGTTTTATCTAACATTAGTAATTTTTATATTAGTGTTTTATAAAACAATTGTCTTCTTATTAAAATAATTTTTTAGCAGTTTTTAAAATGATTTTAAAGAGTAAGAGGTATTTTCTTAACTTTTTTTTTTTTTTTTTTAACTTTTATTTTTTGTTAACTTTTATTCTCCTGTTTTATTATTGTTCAAAATTGTTAGATGTAACTAAGGTATTCTCCTAAAGTATTCTCCTAAGGTATTCTAAGTATTCTTGTTCAACTGTAGTTTTTTTTTTTTTTTTTTTTTTCTTTCATTTGATCTTTTTAATTATTTTCCTTGTAGCTTTTCTGCCATTTGCAAAGTTATTGCTAACGAATTAATATTTTTTAATACATAAATTATTTCAGACATTTTGACAGTCTAAAAAAAACAGTTGACCGTCAATTCCTTGTTCAATTTCAACACTGAGTTAAGAGCATTTACCTTTTATATTAGTTTTATGCCTTTTAAATCGGTCAAGGCAATTTTTTTTGGAATTAGCGGGCTGGTTAAGTAAGAGTTGTTCATGATTTAAACATTTAATATTGATAGCCCTGATCTCTGTGCTAATTAATATTTATCTCTTTCTGAATAGATTGATATATCCTTCAATCTGGTTGATTTAGTGTTCACCATTTTATAATAAAACATCTACTGTACACAAAATTTTAATTCATTTTTTAACTATGAATAAACACAAAATGCACTGACATATATACAGTATTTCCATTGGGGAAAATTTTTATCATTATTTTTAAATATATTTTAATATATTTTAAATATATTTTAATATATTTTAAATATATTTTAATATATTTTAAATATATTTTAATATATTTTAAATATATTTTAATATATTTTTAAATTTATTTTAATATATTTTAAATAAATTTATTATTTATTTAATTTAATGATTAACTATTTTTATATAACTAATTGAATGATGAAATAACTAATTTTGGTGACTGATGAAATAACTAATTTTGGTGACTAATTGTCTATGTCAATTTAAAAAGAAGTCATGAACACCTCTAATGCCTATTTATTCACATAATACTCCTATATTTTTACAACAAATTTTAAAAAACCTACCTCTCAATTTTGCACTAAAACACTCTTTAAAATATCTATTTTAACAAAAAAAATATTTACAAAAATTTAATGCTACCTTGGTTACGAGGCCTCTGCTCTAGAATTTCCAAAGTAGACTCTAGGTGAAGTACAGTTCACATATTGATCAAATTTTTTTTATAAAAAGTATTGTATTCTGATGCCTTGTCTTCAAAACTATACCAGTGCTAATTTTCAGCTTAATCACATGTAATTTTCAGCTTAATCACATGTAATTTTTAGCTTAATCACATGTAATTTTTAGCTTAATCACATGTATAGTTGTTGAGCAGTAACTCATAAAACAAAACTTATGGTATAATCAAAATGACCATCAAATAAAAAAACTGTTAAAACCCATTTAATATCAGTGCTGAAATTTTGCTAGGTAGTCTATGTAAAATAGGCAATCATTTTTGTAAAACATGAAAAAAGTGGATGGTGATGGTAAAGATGGTGGGTTAAAAATCTTGAAAATTTGCCGCATTTTCTCATGAAATGCTTTAATATTAAAATAAAATTTTTATTTTTTATACAATCGTTGTTTTTTAGTTTACTTTTTGTTTTTATTTAATTTTTTTATTTGTAAACTTTCCACAGAAAATGGTCTACATGTTTTATATATTTTGGTTTAAAATTTTTTAAAGTTTGATTACAAACAAGACAAATATTGTTTTGCTAATTGTATTTCTTTTATATTTTTAGGGTATGAACTTTATGGTTGCATTTGGATTACTTTACCTAGATGAAGAAACAACATTTTGGTAATTAAAAAAAAAACTTTTTTACTTATGTAAAATATGAAAATATTATAATTTTTTTGGGGGAACCATATCCTAATATATTTTTTTCACCTTAAAATAATAAGAAACTAGCTGAGATCGGACCCGTAAAAAACCGTACGGGTCTTTGTAAGCCTATTCCAAACCAAACTTTTCTATACTTTTTCCTTATATATCCTAGCTTTTTCGATCTGTAAAATACAGGTCTTTACCAATTTACATATCTGTTCCACACCGATTATTTCTATACCTATTCCTTATTTACTTCAATATTTTTTAGTAAAATAATTTATTCTGAAATATAAATTTAAAAGCAAAAAACTTAACATGTTTACCTTTTCCACATACAAAGAGCTTATAAGAGACATAGGATAAGATTTGTTTTTTTGCTAAATGCATTTTACTGATAGCCATCAGTGTTGTTTTGGGGGTTTAAGACCTCCTCTTAGTGTAATAAATTTTGAAATTTTTTTAATCTTGCTTATATATTTATATCAAAAAAATATTAATATAGCAAAAAAGATTTCTAAAATTTAAAATATAATTTTAAGTTTTCTCATTTTATAGATATATATGTGGTTATTCCATATAATGCCTGCAAATTCAACATATGCTAAAGACATTTACACTTACAGACGTTTGTACATAGCGCTATAAAAATGGTTATATGTCATTAAAAAAAGTTGATTTTTTTGATTATGATTAAAAACTAAATAATAATATTAAACGTTATCTAAAAGTTAATTAAAAATTTTTCGCCTTGACGTCAGTTTTTGGCAAAATAAACCTTTATGCGTCAAGTTTCCTTTTGCATTTATCTTACATTTTTTGATTAATTTTAATTATGTTGCATACAATTGCACAAAAAGGTGTAAAACTGGTACAGATATATTATTTCACGGGTAAGAGTTTTTATTTATTACAATAGTTATAAATAAATAAATAGTTTTTGTTTTTATTAGAATATATCCCATAAAATTAAAATCCATATATCTTTAATAGAAGAACTAAAAAATTTAAATAAAAATCTTATTTCTAGTTTGTTTTTCTAGTTATTTTGCAACAAAGTGACGTCACATATGCCAAAAAAATTGTTGCTTCAACGATTTACGAAAAAGCTGCGTCTATCATTTTTAATGGTCTAAGAAGCAGATGACATAATTTTAACAATCAGAAATTATCAAGAGAGGGGCAAATCTAAAATAGAAGTTTTAAATTTTCCTCTTGGATGTCAATATGTTTCGTGTTTTTTTAATCTTGTCAATTTTTTTAAATATAATAACATACCTACAAAAAATCTAAACAAAACAGCTTGAGCAAAAAAGACATGTAATTATTAAAAAAGTTTACTTATATGACATATGATCTAAATGAATATGTAATAATTATGAATAAAATATTATATAATTGGATTTTTTTACATTTTTAAACAATATATATAAACAAATAACATATTATATATATATATATATATATATATATATATATATATATATATATATATATATATATATATATATATATATATATATATATATATATATATATATATATATATATTGTTTATATGGATGGTTAAGCGCAACAAATTTAAAAACAAAATTAGCTTATATTAAAATTAAAAAATGATTTTATAATGTTTCTTTGCAAACACGAAACACTATGCATAAAATTTTAAAGTGCACTGAACTGCAATTACTTCTAATTTTTTGGGTTTAGTGGCTTTTGTTAAGAGCTTTCAAAATTTTGCATCTAATTATCTCATTTCAACATATTCGTTGTATCATCCATACTACAGCCGTTTTTCAAAAGGCCTTAAGGTAAAAAAAATCAATTTTGATTTTATCCAAAATAAGCTAGTTTAGATGTCTATAAACATTATTGAATACATATTTTCAAGGAGTTCTGAAAAAATTCATAAAAGTTATTAGTTTCGAAAAATGTTTTACAAAGAGTTTCTCCTAATAATTTTTTTTAATTTCATTTTTCTTGAAATACATTATAAGCATATTAAGGTGTTTTGAAAAACGGCTGCAGCATATATTTATAGAAAATAAATTAATGTAGCAAAAAAAAACTTTTAATTGTCAAAAGAAAGTTTTAAAGTTTTTTCTAGCTATGGGCTAGAAAAAACTTTAAAACTTTCTCTTTTTTTTTTCTTTTTTTTTTTTTTTTTTTTTTTTTGCCTCCACAGCAGCACCTTCTGGAGCAACAGGACTGTCTTATTAAGTTTTTTTTTTTATTTAGTTTCAGGCAACTTTTTTTTCAGACCATCCGCAGCTTATTTGGGCTTATTACCTGAGCACATTAATAATCATAAGTATCTCAATCATGACACATACGCAACAAATTTTTTCTCCTAGTGTTTTGATATTTTTAGAAATTTTAGCTTTTTTAAAATCTTTTTGCTTGTTAAAGTGTATAATATCGTTACATATGTTTGTATATAATCTCTATAAAACTTCAAAAGTATTTTGTATTTTAAAATAATTGCAAAAAATTAAAAAAAAAAGTCGCCAAGGGTAGGACTTGAACCACAGCTTACTTGTTTAGAAATTTGGCACGCTATCCACTCGGCCACGCTGGCACGTTGTTAAAAAAAATTTTTTTAAAACTAATAATTTTTTTAAGGAAATAAATGTTATAGATCAAAATTAAGGAGAGCTTGACACAATGCAATTTCCATGGGAAATTAAAATCGTAAAACTTGATAAATGTTTCGGAATGTTTTAGCAATTTTTAATTTGAAGTTTACATACTTAGGATATTTTTATACACTTTCGTTCACATTTGCTGACAACAAATTGTACTGCGACTCTTTTTCGCCACTACCTTGGTTGCAATGACCGCCAACTACTACTACTACTACTACTACTACTACTACTACTACTACTACTACTACTACTACTAACACTATTAAGTTCATTTCATAGAGATTTCTTCATTTCTGTTTTTTTTCAGTTTGTATAAATAAAGGTTTCCAATTTTATCTAAAATGAGTGTTGTCTATCTAAACCCAAATAAGTACTAACTAAACCCAAATAAGTTGCAACATTTAAAACTATGTTTCTTTATAAATGTTTTATTTACATAAGTTTATCTAATTATATGATTTTTATGTAAAACTACCCATTTTTACAGGACCCAAACATGTCTAAAGATTATAAAAATTAAAAAATAAATTGTTTGTACTTCATTATATATGAAATTATGCAAGAAACTGTTTTAAACTTGTTGTAAAAGTTCATTAATTATAATTCACTCTAGTTTCATAATTATATGAGAAAAAAAAATTAAATTAAAATAAGATCTGGAAGATTCAGATTTTTCTAAAAAAATTGAAAATTACTGGTTCCTACTGTCCACTCTGCTTTCAAATCATGCTGCAGCATCTCTTGCTGCAGCTGATAATATTATTTATAATGAAGATTGAAATAAAGTATTTTATAAAAAAAATTAAGAAGAGGGGCCATCCAAAATGATGTCAGTAAATATAGGGTTGGAGTGGGTACTGAAAAGTTTGACAAGAAATGACAATGGGGAGGGGTGGAGCTGAGACCAAAATGATGTCAATTTAAAAAAAAAGATTAAGTTTATATGCACAGATTTTAAATGTATTTACATTTTCAATGTGGTATAGAAATAGTATGTTTGCTTGGGGTAATTCGATGTAAGTTTCACAGAGACATTAAATAAATTAAAAATTTACCAACGTTTTATTATTGTATTACCATTTGACTGCAAATCTAATTGTTTACAAATTTCAACAATTTGTATATAAATTTAACAATCGTTATTCACTCCCTAGCGGATTATCAATTGTGCTTCAAAGCAAACACATAAAGTCCTTTGTCATTATTTCAAATACCAAACTCTATTTGCTCTCTAGCGGTTTGTAAAACTTGATGCAATGCAAACACATAAAGTCACTATCGCAAAAACGCTAATTGCTCCTAAGCGGCTTGAAAAAATTATTTTAAATAGCTTGCGTTGACAGAAGCAAAATCATTATTTTGATTGTGATTTAAAGGATACTGTTAAATCAATAATATAAGTATGGATAGCGGTTTTTTATTCAGATCAGTGGATCTGATTATACCTCAAGAGAAAGATAACCATTTAGTTTGCAGCGAGCATTCACCACCTATTGTTTCAATCAAAGATCACTTCAACAACCCATAGTGAGATGATGAGTGACTGACATCATATATATAGGGGGTGGCCAAAAATTGACAGAGTTTGACAAAGAGGGTAGGGGGATCAAAAAATTGACAAAAATTACTGACATCGTTTATGGACAGCCACAGAGAGGATAAAATTATAAATGTTTCAAGAACATGATAATATTTTATATTTTTTGATAATACAGATTATATTATCGAAAAAAGCACTTCTCAATCTTAGTAATAATCAGCAGTTTTATTTTATTTTTGTATCACTTTATTTTTGCCATAAAAGTAGGAAACATAATCAAAGATTATGTAGGAAGTTAGATAGAAGTAGGAACTAAAATAGAAGTAGGAAACATAATCAAACATAATGAAGACCTGTAAATTACAGTAGTAGGTTAACTCTCTATGAGCAATTTTGCAGACTATGTATTTACAATTAAGTAAAACAAAAAACCCTTAATTTCAATTCAACAGATTGATAAATTGTCTTTCACTACAGGCCAAGTAGGTTTCCTATTAAGTTTAAACTGCTCTGCTCTAATGGTCTTACAGCTGTTAAAACTTTTATTTTCATTAGTTGAAGTTAAATGTTTTAACAGATTGTAAGACCATTAGTACCTTGCAATTTGTTAAAACATTTATCTTGATATTGCTAACTCTTTTTCTTTAAAACATTTATCTTGATATTGTTAACTTTTACATTAAGCAAAATGGGCATTCTGAAAATTTTATTTTAATTATGACTGGCCTTTACAAAATCAAGCATGGTAAAACTGCTGATATCATTCTCAAATTAAGAAACCAATGCTCATAGGCAAACTTAAAAGTTGGACAAGTTTATGTAATAGAAATTGACTGTGATAATTATAATTAGATAATTAAATCCTAATGACTGTGATAATTAGCTGAAAGTTCAAATCAAAGAAGCAACACTTTCATTACACTAAATACCAACAGATCCAATCAAATCCCCATCGTGTCCCTGGTAGTACAGCGCTTAACTTGTTTCTACGCGCATCGACCTTGCTCGTCAAGTTTTGTGTTTCAAAGTTATAGAGTTGAGAGTTACAAACACAACTTTAGTAGCCTCCTCGACTGTAATGGTCTTCATGGTCTTGGGAAAGTGAATTCAAATTAAAAAAAAAAAAAGTTTAAGTACCTTTTACAATTGATGCTTACCCAAGCTACAATAATTGTTAAACGTTGAGTTAAATTTGCTTATAAATTTGTGAATTGAATCAGAAATGAGAAATGAGTTTATATGGACTAACTTTATGTAGAGTATGTTTTATACAAACAGAAATGTTTTTTTTTTGTTGATACAAACAGAAACATTTTGTTATTAAATAAAATCAAATGGATTGTACTTCTATTGTTTAAATTTTCTTGTGCCACATTTTTCTTGTGCCACATTTTTCTTGTGCCACATTTAGTTGCACCAAGAAACTAAATGTTTTTCATAACAAATTTATTTTTTCTACCCAGCCTCATATTCACCTTCCCAAAGTGGGAAGAGAAGAAGAATTTTTTTAATATTTTTCTAAATCATTGTTACAACCCTCCCTGAACCATTTAATTACACCATTTAAATACAAATCTTGAAGAACAAAGTTGCTCCTCAAAGAAACAAAATGTATAGGATACTACCAGGGATATGGTTGGGATTGAACTTGGATCTTCTTGTAGAACAAGTACTCTACCACTGCATCACTACATCACATATGTATAACATAATATAGAAATGTAAAAAGTTTATATTGCTGTTGCTATACAAGCTAACTTGCAAGCTAATGATAAGCTTATGGTTCACATCTGTTTTACATAAGTTAAGTTACATATAAATAAGTATATATGTTTCTATAGGTTACAGCAGTATATTTTTTATTCAGGTTGTTAGTTGCTATTACAGAGGTATATTTTCCAAAGCATCACTACAACTTATATCTTTCTGGAACACAAGCTAGTCAGGTATTCTAATTTTTAGATGTTACTATTATTTTCAAATAAATTTAAAAAGATCTTGCATCTTTTTTTTTTGAAAAAATATTTTCCTATCTTTGTGAAGAACTAAATCCTTATTTTATCTTTATTCAAAGAGTATTTTACCATCTCTTTAAAGAATGAAATCCTGATTTTATCTCTTTTTTTTCATATCTTTGCAAAGAATTAAATCTTGATTTTATCTCTTTTTAGAGAGTATTTTCCCATCTTTGTGAAGAATTAAACCCTGAACTTATTAGACATTTGGAAAGTTTAAATTGTGAACTGGCTCCAATAACCTTTAATTGGTTCATGACAATATTTTTTGACGCTCTTCCAGTTAATGTAAGTTTTTTTTTCCTTGCTATTTGTTTTTTTGTTTTATGTTTGTTTGTTCATTTTGTATTTTTAAAAATTTCAATATAAAATTTTAATATTAATAAAAAAATTAACCAGTTGGAATTTAAAGATTTTTTATATTTTTTATATTGTATAATTGCTGGTCCCATAGCCAATATTGTTATCATTTTTTGTTGTATGTTCAATAATAAATAATTGAACTTAGAATAGAATATTTATTGTTTTTTTTTGTTTTGTTTTTTTTCTCATTTTTTAAGAAAAAAAAATTTATTCTGTCATTGAAAAAAGTTATAAGAAAATAAATTAGTTAGATTCTAAAGAACTTAAATCACTGAAATTTTTAAAAATAGTAAAGGGTTTTTAATTTAAAAAACTTTTATAATTATAATACAATAAATTAATAAATAAATTGATAATGTTCGCATCAATGACATCATGTTATGCAATATTATGCTGTTCTTACTTAAGATTAGAATAGGCAATGAATTTATGTTAGGAATTGAAATCTCATTTACAAAACATTTTCAAAAAAAAAAAAAACATTATAAAACCAATTCTTAAAATTAAACTTTTGCATTTTGAAAGTTTAATAAATTCTTGAAAAAAATTTTATGAATTTATTAGATATTTATCATAAGTTCTATAAATAAATTCTCAGGAGTTTACCAACCTTATACAATAATACATAATATATAACATATATACAAATATGTTTTTGTATTGTTAACATAAACATATATAGCATGTATTTGGTTATTTGAGCATAAAGAAACAGTTAAAAGATGTGAATTTGATAAATGACAATTCACATGAGATTGTTTTGAATAGGGAAGCATGAGATTAGAGGTTGCTTATGCAGTGACAGGGAATCAGAGGGTAGTGGTAGAGAATGGAATTAGGCATAAGAAAATGGTGAGCATGTTAAAAAGAGCAACTTTAGCTGATGCTAACACCTCAATGAATTGCATATACGATTTCTAAGAGAGGTCATCAGTGAGAAATAATCAAAAAAGACAGAAAGTAAAGGACTCACTAAAAATGTGGCCATTCATTAGGATATCATAGTTTTGATAATGGTTAGCAGTAAACAAATGAGTTTTATTTAGATTAAAATTTACCAGTCACTGTGAAGCTGTCACAGAGGACAGCTCTAAGCTGTCACAGAGGAGAGCTCTAAGCTGTCACAGAGGAGAACTCTAAGCTGTCACAGAGGAGAGATCCCATTCAAGACTGGCTGCTTGTTCTAAGCAATGAGGCTATCAGGAAGATTATAAATACAGATAAGAAACAAGATGAGACCAATTATAGAATTATGTGGTTACTTGAAAAGTGTTCTCCATTCAAGATGACTTTAATAAATCAGAAAAAAATTTGATGACATAAAAAAAGTTTAATAACTTTGATTTGATAACTTATAAAAAAAGTTTTTATTTGATAACTTATTAAAAAAGTTTAAATGTTTCAGATACTTTTGGTTTGTGGCAGATTAAATGTTTTTTTTTACTTTTTTTTGGTTTAGTGGAGACCAGGTTTAATTGAAACATGAAGTTAGTTTTACACTGAGCAGTTTATTACAAAGGTTTGAAGAACTAAAAGATTTTTTATTGCATTGATTAAATAAATTGTTGAACTTAAGTTTTTGCTCATGATTTAAGGGAATTGTATGCATGAAAGAAACTTTTTGTGATTTTTGTGGTATTAACTGTAATCTTGTGTTATAAAAGAGTTTAATAACATCTAAGTAGTATTTTCTGTGGTCTTTCTTTAAATGTGTTTTTTATAGAGTTTTGTGTATGGGATTTAATTAAATCGTTTAAGAGTGCACTGGTTAAATTAAGATTTTTTGGAACATTGTGATTGGGGTTTGTTGGAATGTTTAAGTTTTAAGGCATCACTTTTATTTCTTCCATTATCACTCATAGAATATATTTATTTTATAATTTCCAAATTGGTAAGCTAAATTTTTAAATCAAAGATCTTATTACTAAGCATGTGTTTTCAATCATTTAACTTTTTAGATACCGCAGCTTGTTCTTTATTAATTTTGTTCTTCATTAATTCTGCAAAAAAAAGTTTCCTTAACCTAAAAACAGTAAAAAATATTATATTATGTATATAATATAATATTTATTGTATTAGCCAAGAATAGAGAGCAAGAAACAGCATGCATATATGGGCTCATGAGGCATATTTAATTACAGATTCACATGCTGCTAAATACATCTGTGACTTCTGTGAAAATGACTGAGGTGTGATATATATATATATATATATATATATATATATATATATATATATATATATATATATATATATCTGTGTGTGTGTGTGTGTGTATTTATGTATGTATTTATGTATGTATGTATGTATGTATGTATGTATGTATGTATGTATGTATGTATGTATGTATGTATGTATGTATGTATGTATGTATGTAGGTATATATGTATGTATGTATATACTTGTATTATTTACAAGTGCTTTTGTTATACTTTCAACTAACCACATTGTTTGTTGCAACTAGCTCCACAAGAGGCTCCACTTGTGACTGGGTTTGTTGGAACAAAGATATATAATAAAAACAAAAACTAAAACTAAATTACATAACTAAATTTAATCATTGTTAATGAATATCGTGTGCTTAAGTAAATAGTATTTAGGCATTAAAATTTTTTTTATATTTAGCCACAAGTTCAGAAAAGAAAAAAGATGTTTCATTTAACCCCGGCCTCCCCTACTTTTAGATCATAATTATAATGGCATAAGTTGACTAGGCTTTTAATATTTTGTCAAAATCTTTTCCACTTCTAATTTTGATAGAGAGCTTTTCTGTTATTACCATTAGGTCAGCAGTAAAATGAGACTATCGAATATTGATTGTCAAGTTATTGCTTGGTAAGTTTTTGGAACCAAGATGATTAGTTCTTTAATTAAAGACTTTGCTAAAAATAGTAAGAAGGTGGATTAGACTACAGTTAGAGGAGTATATCAGAGATATCTCCAGTGTTTTTAAATTCCAGTTTCTGGCAGGTAGGAAAACAAGATTCATCTAAACACTTGTGAAATAGAGAGAAAGAAAGGGAGCTCCGAAGAATACTCATAAAATTGTTACATGAATGTTGACAGAACAACGTGCTGTAGAAGTGTTTAAGTGAGAAAAAGTTTTAGCAATCGAGACAAGGAGCTTTGGTTGCAATCGTTCGTTGCAATCGACAAGGAGGTTAGCTTGCATAACTATAGATGAAGTGTTTGGAATGTCAGGAAGTGTTGTTATTAGATTCTAGAGATGAATCAGAGGAAATGTTTTTTTCGAATATTTCTAGCCTATCCTTAAGACTGAGCACAAACTAGAATCAATAATGAGACAAATCAATCAGTAAAAGTAAGTTACGGGTTGTCTGAAAAACAAGTCAGAAACTTGAATATAGTTAAAAGATTAAGGATAACCAAAATTTTGATCTTTCGTTTCAGCAAAGTCACTTGTACTAAAGGCAAGGTATTCAGTATGATGAGCATTAAAGTTACCACAATGTTCAACATTGACAGGAAAATATAGTGAAGGAGCCTGGTCAAGTTGATATTAAAAAAAAAACATTTAAAATATTGCAGTCAACAAAAGTAGTGAGCAAAGTTTAAAGATTATTTTCTTAGAAAGTTGATAAAACAATTTAAAAGTATTTAACTTAAAAGCAAACACTTTTGTTTAATTTTTTAGGTTGTATTAAATATTTGGGATTGCTTTTTGTTTTATGGTCATAAGGTAGTTATTTTTTGTTTATTATTTATTTCTTTTATTAAAAATAAAGTAAAACTGTTTATTATTTGTTATACATGATATATTATATTATTATACTCTACAAGATATATTGACAAAGAAAACTAGCATGATTAATAATATGCTTTACATGATAATATCAAGATCTTTGCACTCTGACCATATCAGTGTTAATTGTTTCTATTTTTCAATTTTATTAGGACATATTTTTACATAACTGTAAAAAAATTTACAATTTCTTATTTATCCTAAATACTTTTTATCATGCTAGTTTTCCCAGTAGTTTGTTAAATTTTTGTGGTTTACTTCTCTTGTATAAATCCAAACAGCATGTGGTCAATAAACACTCTCAATGTATTTTTTAAAAAAAATTTTATATAAATATTTAGTTTTTATTTACTTATTTTTTACATTTTTAAAAAAAATAAAATGTGTTTATTAACAATATGCAAATGTTAAAATAAAAAAAACATTGAAATAATAAATATAAACTGCTAAATAATATCATCTTAATTGATTTGTTTAAAAGATGATTAATTATTTACTTGTTTTAAAATATTCATTTTATGCCATCTTTGATTTGTCTGTTTATAGTTATTATGTCTAATCCATATGAGGTTAAATAATAAGATTTATTGTGGCATCATCAATATTCAATTCTGTTTTTCAGATTTTGTATCCTTTTGCTCTAAGTTTAATCAAGCTTCAAAAGAAAAAAATTCTTTCTTGCAAAGAAACTTTATCAGCAATGAGAAAGCTCAAAGCATTCGGAAAGATGTTTTATGACGTTGAGAGTTTATTAAAGGTTTTTTTTATTATTAAAAATCACTTTCTTGTTTAGCCAAAATGATTGCAAAAATATGTGGCATATGTTAATGTTTGAAAAAAAAAGTTTATTATCTATATACATTGTTACTTATGATTCTATTTGTTTGCTGATATTTATTGACCTTATTAATGTTTTTTTGAACTTATTAATGTTTTTTTGAACTTATTAATGTTTTTTTGACCTTATTAATGTTTTTTTGACTGTGTTATTGTTATTTGGACTGTATTATTGTTTTTTGACCTTATTAATGTTTTATTGACTATATTTGTTTTTTTGACCTCATTAATGTTTTATTGACTATAATTGTTTTTTTGACCTTATTAATGTTTTTTTGACCTTATTATTATTTTATTGACTGTGTTATTGTTTTTTTGAACTTATTATTGTTTTATTGGCTATATTTGTATATATATATATATATATATATATATTTCTCTTTTAATATTTAGGAGGTTTTCGATAGGAATTTTGAAAAAGACTTTAACTTATACAATGAACTTTATGTGAAGTATTTAAAAGATATAGAGGAAGAAAGTTTGAAAAGAAAGTTAGAAGATGAAGAATACGAGAAAAAAAAGCAGAAGTTGGTATGAATATCTAATAATAATATGAATACCTAGAAAATATAAGAAATAATAGGCATATAGTATGAACACAAAAGAAGTTTATATAAAATTGTTATTCTACTAAATGCTGTTTATTTTGTACTTTGATGTTTCAATTTAAATTTGTTTAAGAAATTTACTCCAAAACCTATGATGGTTTCTGTAGCTGAAAATTTGGATGAATTGGATGATGATTTGATAATAAAATGTGTTCAGTGTGAAGGTTAAAATTTTTTAAATTGTTTGTATGTATGTTGCTGTTTCTATTAATATGTTTAACACGATTTTTAAAAATCAGCAATTGTTATAAAATGCTGTACATACATATATATATATATATATATATATATATATATATATATATATATATATATATATATATATATATATATATATATATATATATATATATATATATATATATATATATTCAGTACATACATCAACTTAATACATGCATCAACTATCAAACAGCCTGACCTGCAATAGAGTGCTGCTACATTGGCTGAGAGTTTGGTATGGGCAGCAATCTTTCCTTTCTTTATTCTTCGTTTTTTTCTTCTTTTTCTAAAAAATTAAAGCGCACTTTTTTACCTCAAGAACGCAAAAATGATATTAAGAAATTGTGACCTAACATTTGTTAGGATTGAGTATAATAACCAACTATTTTTTTTATTTTGCATGAATAGTTTATTAAATACTAAGTAGAACATAAAAGTATAATTCATTTCTGTCAATTCAATCAGATCATAAGAAAAACAATGGCGAGGCAAAACAGTTTATTCTTTGCACACTAAATAGTAAATTCTTTTGTAAGTGTAAGAAGATGAAGTAAAGACTATTTTATGGAGCCTTAAGTAAGACCAATAGAATAAGTAAGACCAATAATAAGTAAGACCAATAGAATAATTTTGGACATTTTGTAAACAAAACAAAAGCATTCCTAAAAACATTACAGCTTTAAAAAACAAAAAGACATCATCACTTAAATTATCACTCTGAATTCGGGTGGGCAACTAATGACTTGTGCAAGACCAAAACTTTCAGAAATTTGAAATTTTGGTGTTTAGAGTTGATTTACATATTTTAAATTGTGTAAAAGTTTCGATAAATTTCAAATTTAAATAATAAATTTGTTTCCTAATTGTTGTTATCACTAAGTTTATACTTATACAACTATAAATAATTATTTAAGTATGCATATGTAACTTTAAACAATTACTTTTTAACTATAAGTAAATTGAGGTGTGGGAATATCCCAAGTCTGTTAAAATTAACATTTTGTATTTGACCTAATAAGTCTTGATAACATCCTTTTTAAGGAAGATCAGTGAACTTTTTTTTGCTCACTTTATTCTATACTATTTTTTCAAAAAAAAAAAGTATAATGAAGAAAAAGGCTGCTGCCCCAATCCAAACCTATAGTAGATGTAACTGTATTACTTGCATGTGATCCCTATTTAGTCAGTCAATGTATGTACTGAAGCTCCTTGCAGCTGGCTATTCCGGTATGACATCAGACTGCTAATCTGAACATGTAAGATAACCTTTATATATATATATATATATATATATATATATATATATATATATATATATATATATATATATATATATATATGTTATCTTTGTGTACTTAGCCTTGCATGAACCATCATTAAAGTAAGTTTTCATTTATTGCAGCAACCACTTCTTTTATCTTTGAAAAAAAAACTTTCTCCATTGTGTAATCTAAGTAATGTATTAATGCGAATCTGTTCAAATTTGTTGAAAATACAGAATTAAAAATATGTTTACATCTGTTGAAAATATAGATAATTATGATGTATGACAAAATAAGCATGTAAAATTTATAAATAAAAATTCCTGACTTTTTTTTTTCCACAGAAAGTTAAAGAGTTTGTTGTTTTAATTTATTAATTTATTTCAGAGAATCACAATTATGTATGGATACTGGGCACTTCAGACCTTAAAGGACAAGTGTTTGTTTTAAATGTATCTAGCCGAACTACAGTACCTATCGATTGGCAGGTATGAGGAAAAATAAAATTTTTCTTCTTTTTTTTTTATTAAAATTTTATTTAAAATAAATAATGAATAACAAAAAAATGGTAAATAAATTTTTTTTAAACAATATTACAAAATTACATCAAAACAAAAAAACACCAAGGAGATTACAGGAAATTAAAATTCATTTAGTTATGAATGTGCATTGAAATTTTAAGAAACATGAAACATCTGATAAAAATTTTTTTTCGATTGAATTTAGGTAATTGACTGTAAGACTAAATTAGTCTGTTATCTTTGCTTAAGCATGGACAATATAAAATATTAAAAATAAATACCTTTATCTCTTTATCGTTCAGCCAATACTATGTGGTGACTTTAATACTCATCATATTGAATGGCTTGGCTCTAGTGTCAGTGACTTTAAGGGCGTTAAGGCCCTCAACTTTGGCCTTTCTCAATCACTAACACAAATAGCCAACTTTGAAAGTCATTTTTTTTTTTGCAAGTCGTTTTGATCTCTCTAAAACTATTATTTCATTCTTCTTCATTATCAGAATTATCATAAAACTACCTAATACAACTACCGTAAAGCTGACTGTGACTCTCTCCTGAGTTTTTTTTTATTTTCTTCATGATGGCCCTTGAGTAGTTTTGTCTTTCTGCTGAAAAATGTGCTTCTTATGTAACTTCTTGGATTCATGGAATCTTTTATTCCCTCTTTCCGATGTTTCCAAGTCAAGCCTCACTCTTCTTCATGATCTTTCTCTCATTGTACTGCTGCAATTTCCAATTTTACCCATTACTTTCATATCTATCAGTAAAACAATTCTCTAGAAATCAGGCGTATGTAGCCAAAAACTATTGAAAAAAAAGGTTTTGTAGAAACCAAATCTTGTATATCATCTCAAAAATTAGGCTCTCATGTCTTCAGAGAATCTGTAACAATATCAATAATAAGAGCAAATCTGTTATTCCACCTCCCTTGTATGGGTCAGATTTTGTCACCTCACCTAAAGATAAAGCTAAATTGTTTGCTAAAGAACTTCTTATGAATATCATCTCTTGATTCCACTAGTCACATACTACCTGGTATAGCCGACAAACAGATTTATTGCTTGACCTTCATATCACTCCAGCTTCTGTATCTAAAGTGATTTCTTGCTTAGACTTTTCTACAGCTTGTGGTCCAGACAACATACCTGTTATAGTCTTGCAGAAGTGTTCTCTGGAGCTGTCATCTATATTTTTAAAACTATTTAACAAGTGCTTATCAGAGTCTATATTATTTTTCTTCCTATCAAGATTTTTGAGTCTTTAATTAACCAACACTTAATCTCACATCTTGAATCTAATAACTTACTTTTTAATTATCAATATGGATTTTGATCTTCTCATTCTACTACTGATTTGTTAACGGTAATAATCATTTTATTGTACATTAATTAGATGTAGAGAGGTTAGGGATATTGCTCTTGACATTTCTAAAGCCTTTAATAAAGTTTGGCGTTCTATTTTTGTCTATAAGCTTTTTTTTTATGGTGTATCAGGTAATATCTTTTGTTGATGATTTAATTCAATAGATGTTGCTAACATCTATTGAATCCTTCCTTACCAATCATAGTATAAAAGTTTTCCTTGATAGACTGCACTCTTCTTCATATCCTGTAACTTCAGGGGTTCTTCAAGGTTATATCCTTGGTCCTATACTTTTTTTAAATTTACATCAACGATCTCCCAGATATCTAAGTAGTAAGTGACCAGGGCCCCAGCCCTGGCTAAAAATGAGACTGTTTGCAAACCTGGTTCTGGCTAGATTATAAGATTTAGCAAGGGTTGATAGCCGGGACTAGAAAAAAATTTATAATACTTAATATATTATAATTTTATGCTTACAGTTACTATTTATTAAATACTGGCATACATTTATATATTTTTAAACTCTAATTTATTTCCAACAAGATTGCAAGCAATCACTATTAACCCCTGGTGACAAAAATTTGGCACAAGATAAATGCAAGCAGTAATAGTACAACAAAAGGTTTAATGAACAAAAAATTAATACAAAATGTAAGGCAATTTATTAGTTTTTTACTTTCAAGACTGAGATAATGCTTTTTTGCCATTACAACGTACTGCATCAACTTTTTTGTATACATGTTCACACATGCCTTGTACAAGATTTTTATCAACTTTTCTTTAACAAGAATGGATTCATTTTTGCAGCTGATCTTCATTTTGAGCTTCCCATTTATTTTCATACACGTAGCATTTAAGGATTGACCAGAAATCTTCTATTGGTTGTAATTCTGAGACACATGCCAGATTATCGACCTTTGTTACAAATTGGATACTTTTCTCATTGAGGTAATTAGTCACACTTCTAGCATAATGTGAAGAGGCCAAGTCAGGCCAGAATACATAATTACCATCACTGTGATATTTGTTGACAAAAGAATCCAATTGTATGATGATGAAGAAATAATTTAATAACCTCAGAACCTTTATATAAAGAAACTAATAACAGAGTGAAGACTAATCGTAAGATAGTTTGAGAGGTCAAAATGTTTTCTAGAGTTTTGAAAAATTGGAACCACTTATTTAGCATTTTTTTAAAGTTTAGAAAAACCTTGTATGGAATAACGCTTGCTTAAAAAGTTTAAAGTAGTTTAGGTATCAGAATGTAGAGAGGTAGCATCTTTAGTAGAAAATGGTAGTGGTAGAAGTAAGAAAACTTCATACAATATGTAAGAAACATTCATACAATATGTAAGAAACATTCATACAATATGTAAGAAACATTCATACAATATGTAAGAAGCAAGTGTCTTACATATTGTATGAATGAGCTTTAGTTAAGAAAAAAAAAGTTCTAAATTGTTTATATTAGAGAAACAGCATAACATCATCACTGTTGTCATATCTGCAGGGGCTCTTCCGATGATGCCCTTTCTTTTTTAGACTATGTATACAATGTGTTTTTGCATTTTTTAAATGCAAAAACACATTGTATACATAGTTGGACCTGCTCCTGCAGCCAACTTCCAACCATTATCATTTTGTCATAATGTTGCTTCTCTTTCTCTTTTCTATAAGTACTTTAATGGTCACTCCTCTAAAGAGCTAGCGTCTCTTGTGCCATCTACTAAAATTAATTCTTATGTTATTCGTCATTCGATTAAGTCTCATCCTATTACTGGGCTGTTCCAAAGTGCTCCAAAAATTTTTATTCATCTAGTTTTTTTCCTCTTGGTTCTTTTAGAATTTGCTCCCTTTATCTTGTTTTCCTGATTCATATAATTTGTAATCTGTTGTATGTTGATTATTATCATGCTCTATGAATTTCATCTTCTCTCTTCCAGTAACTTCCAACTGTAATAGTGGTTGCTTGCAGCCTTATTGAAAGGGAAGATGTTAAAAAAAGAAGTTTGAATTTTTTTAAAAAAGATATAAACGTGTTGTCACATTGTCTTCATTTGTGTTTAAAAAAAGTTTACTTTTAACCATATTACTATTAACTTCCAAAATTTGATATTTTCATAAAGTAAAGTTATTGCGTTATTATGACACTGTCAGTCTCAGTGTTATAATAACGCAGACTCGTGAAATTGTAAAAACTTATTACAAGTAGAATTAAATATACTTTTAATGATTAAATATACTGCAGCTCTATCAGTAACTAAAACAGGTGTAATTGACCATACCAAATCAATTCATTATTTTTTAATACAATGAATTTCTTTCAATGCAAAGTTTCTGCAAAAATGTTTAGAAAATTGTGTGAACTTTGTTATAACAGTTACAAAGTTTGTATCAACTATAAAGTTTGTTGTAACAAGTTACTTTAGAAGTTTGAAAATGATATAGATATAAGTTATATAAAATTTAAGATGTTGCAAAATGTTGCAGAATCATCCTCACTTTTTTTTTACAGGTAGATTGCAGATGCATTGCAATGTGCAGGCTTGAAACATGTAATATTATGTTGGTATCCACCATGAAATCAATGCTACATGCTATTGATATTGAAACAAAGTACGTCAATGTTAAAACTGTTTGATTGATTTGTTACCTGAGTTTGAAATACTGCTGTTGTTGAGTGTTTTGCTAGCATATCATTGTAGTATACGTAATATAATGTAATATGTAATATATACAATAATTTAGTACATATTTACTTTTTAATTTAAAGGAAATAAAATATTGTTGCAGTTGATGTATTATATAAAAAAAAAATTTATTAGAAAAGAGATTTGGAGTGTGCAGTTAGCTGGTTGTGCATTAAGTATTTCATGTGACATGCATGGAAATGTAGCATTAACACTTATGGATGGTACAATAGCTTTTTTTAATGTAAGTTTTCAATGTTTTAAACTCTTTGGTTAATTATAAAAATTTTAATCAGGTCTAAACAGAATATTGGTTACCAAAGGGCTGATCCAAATATTTATTTATCTGGTTTATAAAATATGTTCATGTTTTTGTGTCATCTTAATGTAACTATAATATTATAATAACTATATAGCACTATTTATTGGTTGTGGTCAGCCACTTTATTAATGGTTGGCACTTTATTTATGGTTGGGCACTTTATTTATGGTTGGTGAGCAACTTTACATATATTCTTGCATCATAAAAAATATTTGCTTTCTCTTGCTTTCTTTAAACCAAATAAATGAATTTGGAGAAATAGTTTGCATATATTGCTTTTGAATTCATCGCCATTAACTCTTGAAAAACTTTGAGCTGCTATTTTTAACATTTTATTGCTAATTTCTTCTTAAGACACTCTAACTGCTGTAAACAATGAAAGAAAAAAAAAGAAGCAAGTGCAACTAGAATGTTGTGAGGCTCTCACAGAAAAAGTTTCCTTAGTTCAGAAAAAAAGAAGATTAAAATGGTTTTAAAAAAATAAAAAAAAGGATTGGATAAACAAATTTAAAATAAATGTTATCAGTAAGAAAGAACAATAAGGCTTGGATAAATACGTTTAAAGTAAATGTTATGAGTAAGGAAGAACAATAAGGCTTGATTAAGTGCAAAAATGCAATTTTAAAGCAAAATTTGTGCTTAAAATGTTTACATTTGTCATTACTAGTTCATAACTTTAATTTCATAATTATGGTTCAATTGTTGTTTTGCTATTTTTCAGTAAATTCAGTTTAACTAATGAAAAAGAAGTTTGTGATGTTGAAGCCATAACTATATCCAGTCTTTCACAGGAAGATGTGCGATCGCACGTTTTTATATGACCACGCAAAAAATAATATGTTTTGGTGATTTGACCACAACTTCTCGCATATTTTCAAAATTTAAAAATGCGCTACAAAAACTTACCTAAACTTATTTTTAAAAAAAATTTAATAAAGAAAAACAAATCTTAACGAAAGATATAATTAAAAAAATACTTAACTAAAACAAAAGCACAAAAAATGTTTATTTAATGTGTTTTAAAAGAAAAACATTTCTCATAAAAAATACATAATTATATAAATTAAAAGAACAACAGTTTATTAATTCTTATTTTAAAAATTCATCATAAGTGTTTTGTTACTTCATTGAAAAGCGTTTCGATAATATAAAAGCATATAAGGTCAAACTTATTTAATTGTAACGGCTTTCTAAAACATTTGCCTTTTTATTTTTCAACAAATTTTTTAATCTTTTTAAATATATTAACTTTATTCTTATACTAAAGTTCGTAAAAGAGACTTTCGTTGTTGTAGAATATCATTGTTTAAAAAAACAAAACAATTTTTTATTTTTTAATAACTTTATTATAGAAATGCACACTTGAACAATTTATATATTATAAATTAAAAAAATATATACAACTTTCAATTATATTTTAAAAAAAATCGATTATCAGTAAATTGTTACTTTATTTAAAAGCGTGTTGTTTAAAAGCGTAATGTTATTCACACAGACCATTAGAATGTTCATTCAAAGATGAATAACCAGTAAGTTAACCACAGTTTTTACTGAAGTTTATTATAGTAAGTTACACACGTTTACTGTTGGGTGAAAATTAAAATAAAAAAGCATGAATGTTTTCTATTTTTTTTTATAATCATTCTAGTATCAATAGCATAAAAGTTTCACAGAAATAACAAAAAATATTTAATTAAGATATTTAGGCATTTAGAAACATATTATTAAATTGTGGATACCTCTGAATCAATAGAATATACTCTATATACAAATTTCTCTTTTAGTTTGATGTATTGTATTCCTACTTTATTATAAGTAATTTCTTCCTATTGTATTATTGATAAGCTATTTCTTTACAATCTGGACTAAGTTAACTGTTTTTCCTTTTTTCTTTGTACACTTTTTTTATTTTTTAAATTTGTAATTGAGTGAATTTTTTTGTATTTTTATTGCTATTATTCAATAGGGGAAATTCACAACACTAACTAATTCATAATGTTATGAATAAATAAGATTATTATGGAGAAATAAAAAAAAAAAAAAAAAAAAAATACATATATCGTTTTTTGACAAATTTCCACAAAAAGTTTTATTGAAAAGTTTTTGTTGTTTTTAAATGACATCATTATTTATAAAGGGTATTTTTGTATTATGGGACACTTATTTTTGAACAGCTAAGATATTTTTCTTTATAAGTAGATAAACCTTTTCACTGAAACAACAATGTTTAAATAAATAACTTGATGTTGATGTTGTTAATATTAATTTTTTTTTTGAAGTTAACGAGTCAGTCAGATACCGAAGTTGAGCCAAGTTATATTGATATCAGCAGTTCACCTGTGTTCACTGGATGCATTGTTGGTGATAGTTTTTGGTGTGGGGCTGCAAACAAAATTGTTGTGATGGAAATGAAGTAATTTCGAAGTTTATTTTTTTTTATGTTTAATTGTATAAGATAAATGCTAAAAGATGGTTATAATGTTAATAGATGGTGTTCATCATTTTTGTGAGTTTTAATATTTTTTATTATTATTTTTTGGTATTGATGTTGTTAATTCTAGTAGAAAGGTATCATTCTTTTTGAATTTATTTATAGAACACTTGAAACAAAAATATCATTACGTGTATGTCCTAGAGAAAGACATACAGTATCACAATTGGTATTAACTGATATAGGGGTCTGGTGCTCAGTAATTAGGTTATATTTTTATTTTTAGACTTGACTTTTATTTTTATTTTTATTTTCTTTTTTTATTTTATTTTAGCATAGAATTATGATATGAATTAGAAAGAGTTAACAACAAAATATTAATTTAAAAAAAAGAAAGCAAATCACAAGAAAGAAAACTCATTACAAGCTACTTAAAGCTTTAATTGAACTTGTAACAATAAACAATTTTTATAATAATAAACAACTTTTATAAATTTACAACTGAAATTATTACTGAACTAATGTATTAATTAACAATTTTTATTGTTTTATTTTTTAAAAAGAAAATATAAAAGAAATATTATTATAAAAATTTATTTATGAAATAAAGTTAACTATTATTGCTTACTTTTGATATTTTATTGTTGTCCTTCATTCTCAGGAATTATCTTTTACTGGATATTTCCAGAATTCTGAATATTTTTTTTTAATTTTATATTTTCTGGATATCCCAATAGTTTTCTGAACAACAAGTTTCTGGCTACAAATTTAAATTTTTTTTTTGTAACTTTGACATCAAATAACTAAAATAATTAAGGTTTATTAATTACTTGATGCTATATTTAGTTAGGTTAGGCATTTTTTTATAACTAATTTTTTTTACAACTAATTTTTTCTTATTTTTACTCATGTACAACTAATTTTTTCTTATTTCTACACGCGTATTTATTATTAATTATTTTGACTATTTCATCTAGAAATCATATAAAAATAGTGTAATTTAATTTAATAATTTTTTCATATAAATTAATTTAATTCCTAAACCCTATTTATATACTCCACTGTGCCTAATCCTATTTAAGTCAATTGATGTATTTACTATGTACATATGTATGTATGTACACTCCACTATGGCATATGTGACTATGGCTATATCAGTTGATTTATGTATGCATTGATACACTTATTCTATGAAACTTTAAAAAATAAGTTATGAACATAACTATAAATAAACAACAATAATAGCTAAAAAACAAAAAAAAGTTTTCAAAATAATACTTTTTTGAAAAAAATATAATACTTTTTTGAAAAAAATTAAAATTATAAAAAAAAGTTTCCTAAGGAAAAAACAAACCCCCATCCTTGTCAGCCACATCTCATAACCTTATCAATGTAACTTCAGCAGCACTACGTCATTACTTGCATAAAAAGTTGTAGTATTGAAACATTTTTTGCGTGCAAATGTTTCTATTATGTATACATTATTTGTATGCATGTAAAAATAATGTACATTTATGGGATAAAGTTAATTATTATTGCTTACTTACTGTTGATATTTTTTTGTTATTCTTAATTCTAGTTCTTCAGTTGTTCATTTATGGAATAAAGTTAATTATTATTGCTTACTTACTGTTGATATTTTTTTGTTATTCTTAATTCTAGTTCTTCAGTTGTTCATTTATGGGATAAAGTTAATTATTATTGCTTACTTACTGTTGATATTTTGGTAGAATGTGGACTGGCTTCTGAAAAGGTTTTAATTAAATTTTGATGATTTTTTTTTGTCCATTAATTTTTTTTTAACATAAATAATTGTGAAATTTGTGTTGTTTTTAAGTATAAATAGTCAAAAAAAAATTTATCTTGAAAATATGTTTTTAAATTAATAATCATTTTAATTAAAAATGTTTTTATTAATAAATCTTTAGAAAACAAGTCAAAAAGGTGATTTAGGAATAACTACAATAATGGCTTTTCGTGATAAGCTATGGGTTGGATTTGGAAATGGTAGATTTATCATCAATGATGTCTTTATTAAAAATACAGAAGATGATCTAAATGATGTCATATCTCATTTTAAAAGCATACCACAAAGTACTCTTGGTGTACCAACAGCTACTTCAAAACTTTCTGTTAATACATGTTGTCATGATATTGATGGTGACAATGAGTTTTTAGAAGAAACCCGAAGTAGATCACAATCAACCAGTTATAGAGAATTTGGAGGTGTACGCTCTTCTCAAATAGATATTGATAGTCATGTAGAATATTCAGTAAAAATGAATCAAATACAAAGAGTTTCAGAGAACAGAGTGAGCTGTTTTATCCCATGCAGGTTGTTTTTTATGTTTTTTTTTATTCTAAATTTTAACCTATATACGTATTATATTTAACGATCTCTGTTAAATTTAGTGTATAATGTAAAAAAAAAATTTTTTTTTAATATGTTTTAATAACAAAATTTTTGTATATAATTATTAACAGCAAAATATACATTTGTTAGAAGTGGAATTATTTACAGATTTCTCTGAACAAATGAAAATCAAGATCTTTAAAAGATCATGTGCAATGTTTTGTTGTAATAGTAGCTAAGAGATTTAGTTACCAGGTTACCATAGTTACTAGGTTTTGTATTTCAAACTTGCTTTAAAAACCTTTAACTGTGTTTACAAGTTTTTTTGTTATTTTTCACTTATAAATTCACACATAGATATCCTTTCAATTTCTATAAACAAATAATTAAAAATAATAAAATGTTTACTGTTTTCTTTGCTCACTTTATTCTTGCTCTATTATATTTCTCTTTTTAAAAGGACAGATTTAATATAAACGTTTTCAACATATCGACCCTTTTAAAAAACACTGATTAAGTTGTACATAGTTATTGTTTTATTGGTTCAAATAAATTATTTTATTGAGTTTTAAAAAATTTTGGTGAAAATTTGTTCATCTATTTATTAAAAACGAATTGGAAAACTGGTTTGTAATTTGAAGTACCAGTAACACCACAACAATTAAATCTCACAACAAGATCTCACTATCATCATCTATTTTTACTAAACCTTTTCCAGATATAATTGAAAACATGAAAGTTTTAATTAAGAATTCTTAATATGTAATTGAGAAACACAGCTTGTAGTTTAGAAATCGTAATATATAATTGAGAAAAACAACATGTAATTTAAAATCGTAATTTGTAATTAAGAAACTAAACATGTAATTTAGAAATTGTAATATGTAATTAAGTGAAAACATTGTTGGACTTTATCTGCCAAGCTTGAGGCTGATCTCCCATTATTGTAAAGTTACATCTCTTTACAAGTGCTATCATGATTGCTGCCCAAAGGAGCTATCATCTCTAGCTCCATCAACCAAAACTCATTTTCACTTGACTTGTCATTCAGCAAAGTCACATCTTTTTACTGTATCTGTCCTTGCATGCATTAAAAACTTTTATCTAGTTTTTTTCTACTTCAATCATTTTGAACTTTCTCCCATCTTCATGTTTTCCTGACTCATACAACCTACAACTTTTCAATTCTTCTGTCAACCTTTTCCATTCTCTTTAACTCTACTCTTTATTTTTTAGTAACTCCAAACTTATTAGTGGTTGCTTACAGCCTTGTTGGGAGTGAATTAGGTTTTATTCTTGGTTGAGTGATTTTTCTTTTCTCTAGCAATTTTTGTTAAGTAAAAATTTTATGATGATTCTTGTTTCTTCCCTGGTTTTCTATATACTAGGTATTTTTTTGTTTTATTTCAGGAATGACAATCGATTAGTTTTGAGTTGCATGGGCGCATTAAATGACGATTCTTCTGTTATTCTTTGGTCTTCGGAAAAACATGACGTAAGTTTATAAGTAAATAAGTATAAACAAAATATATATATTTTTTAAATAAGTATACAATTTTTTTATTATAATCTAATAACTGATTATTATATCATATATTATTAAATAATTGTTTTTATAATTTATTATAATTGATTTCTACTCATTTATTCTTTTTATTTTAATTTGATTTATTTGTCTTGTGGTTTTTAGGGTCGTGAAATGTGGTTTGCGCAGACGGTTTCTTATTCGTTATGATGACCTAAAACCCAACTTTTTCTATATTTCAAAGTTTGTTGCTCATCATTTATGTGTCTGTATAATATGCTCATCATTCACGTGTCTGTATAGAATATCTAATCTAATGCATGACTGATAGCACGTCTGTATAATATGCATTAGAGGACAATTGCTTTGTAAAATTATGTACATGCACAATTATTTAAAAAATTATGAAATTGAAATTTTTTATTTATGTTTTTTTTTTCATAAATATGTAAAATAAATTATTTTATATGTTAGTCATTTTATTGACATTTCTTTGTACATGATTTTTAATGTTAATTTCTTTACGTTTCTCAGTTTTTTAAATTCTTTAAGCCAACATTGCTTTGATACACGAATAAAAATAATTTATCTTTATAATTTTCTCATTATTTATATTTACTATTTTTATTGGACAATTTATTTTTTTATGTATTTTTTCAAAGTATGTTATGTTAATTATTGTCAAATAATAAATATTTTTAACAATTTTACTAAGAAGTTTTTTAGATTTGTCTTAAGAAATGTAGAACAAGCTTTGTTTTGCATAAGATGTAATCCAAAACATGACTTTAGGTTTAATGTAGACCTGAACTCGTAGATCTTGAGATATTTCTATGCAAAGCATAGAAATATCTCAAGATATAACCATAGAAATATCTCAAGTTCAGGATATTTCTATGCTTTCAGATATTTCTATGCTTTGCATAGAAATATCTTTTGAACTCGTAGATCTTTAGATATTTCTATGCAAAGCATAGAAATATATCAAGATCTACGAGTTCAGGTACACAATGGTACGCACGTTCCACATAACCCAAATTAACATCTTTTTAGGGTGTAGGTTTGCGTTTAAAATTCGTTTTAGCGGTTGCTTTGGTCCTTTTATAATTAGTGTTGTTCACGTTGAGTATCCACCTCTCATCCTTTGTGACAACATGGTCAAGCTAGTTTAATGTGCAGTGATTCATACAGGTGTCTTCTAGACCTGGTTGACTAGAGTTCAGTTATATGGTATCCAATTTCTGAAAATGGAAGTCTTTATCATTTCGTGCAAGTGGTAAAACTTCATTCTCTCAATTGAAAATATTTTTTAATACTTTTGATAATGTATACATGTATATTTTGATAATTTAATACTTTTGATAATGTATAAATAAATACAATATATAACGAAATTTAATGATACAATGTGTATATTATAAGTAATAACTTATACTATAAGTTATTTCTTTCTGCTGCTGTAATACATGTTGTTTTTGAAAAAAAAAATCAAAAAAACCCTTTGTTTGTATTTTAATTTTTTTTTTAATAGACTTTGAATTTATAAGTCTACGGATTTTACATTTTGTAAAGGATTTTGTTATGTAAATTACATAATAAAATAAACTACATATTTTTTTCTTTATGTTTGTGTTACATAATGTAATACAAACACACAAAAAATATATATATATTAATGCGATGAGAACATTATTCAACATAGATTCGACAAATTATTTCGATGAAAACTTGAATTCAACATAAGCACTAAACTTGAGAAGTTTATACAATGCAGCTCTATAAGAAAAAATCTAATTTATTTATACACAGTCATATAAATTACGTTTATATTTTTTGGAAAAATACTGAAAGTAAATAAGTTACAACGCTATCGTAGTCAAATACTTGCAATCCGAATAATCATTTTTGCTGATTTTGCAGAAAGATTTTTTACTTTGAAATCTAGCATTACGCTTTGAAAAATAATTTTTTAAATAAATAATTTTTTCAAAAAAACTTTAACTAATGTTTTAGTTTCTTTGGGTTGTAGCATCTTTTCACCAAAAGACGCTACAACATTAATGACTAATGTTTGATTTTTATCTACCTATTAAATTTTACCCTTTTGAAAACCAATTGAAAAAAAAATTTTATTAGAAATGTGGTATAAAAAGTTGTATGCGCGTTTCCAATTCTAATCTGTAACACTTATAAAAATGTAACCAATTAACCTGTAACACTAATAAATATTATCATGTAATAATAGAAGAATAGAAGACACAGTTTGAAAATTTTGGACCCTAATACCAAAAACAACTCCTATGAAAACCCTTTTGAGGGGTGTTAGTACATATCATAGGGATCTCATAACAAGTAATTTTGAAATCCAGGATTACCGTCCGCAAGACTTATTCAACATTGAAGTTTTTGCTTTTAAATTACGAAACCTGAAAAATTGCAAAGCTTCTGATGGGATTAGTTCTTGAAGTTTGATGAGTCGAAAAATCTCTTGCACATTCCAATAATTTTTAGGAGTGTCATCAGCAACAGCCACAAGAAATTGCTTTTTCACACTTTTTCACAAGTTTGCTTTGAGACTTGTGTCGTGAGTTTGGCAGATTTTTGGACAGGACTGTGGGGCTCTAGGTTGTTTTCTTCCTCATTAATAACTCCAATGCTCACTTTTAAGAATGACCCTCCTCCATCAATACCTATCTTTGCAAAGGCAGTCTTTGAGGAGCTAATTTCTTCTTCAATCCTGTCTTTCAAGTCCCTAATGCTTTTGCAATGAACTACAACCCTGTTTTCTCCAGAATCCGAAATCTTCAAGCTGCTGACAGTAAAAAAGTCCTGCAATTTTTGTCCAGACTCAGCAAACTTTTTTTGAAAGTTTGGTTCAACTAATCTTGTTGGGCTGATATGATTGATGAACGATCCAAGTTTCCTCATTCCGTTTTTAGACAATCCTGAATTCTGTTGAATTTGAACCATATCCCCTCTTGAAAGTCTGAAAGGAAAAAGCTCTTGAGCAACAACACCACCTAAAAAAACGAAGTCTATTAGCATTCTCTAAAGAAGAATGTGATAAGTATGCATTTTACCTTTTCTGATTGAAAGATGCATCCCACTCGATTGACTAAGTTGAATTGTTCCTCCAGGAGATGCTTCCTTGGATGCAACAATGGAAGATGCAACTTGTTCAGCTCCTTTAGGATCTGACAATGCTAGTTGCCTAAAGTTTTCATGGCGTGAACCAATTGTGCAATGATGAGAAAGGCCTCGTGAGAGAACAGACAAACATTTTGTACAACGTTTTTCTGAACTTTTAGGTGGCTAACTGGTTGTTGCAGGCTGGTCTTTTTGCTCAAGTGGGCGAGTTTCTTTACCTTTGAGCCTATCAGTTTGGCAGATCATACAATTACAGGTGTTTGAACTTCGAGTTGCCGGTTTTATTTGGATGTCTTCAAACCTGTACAATCTTGGTTTACACGTCTTAGGATCCCCATCTTCAAGCTTTTTCAGTTTAAAACGACATGTCTGACATGAGGCAAGAGGAACTCTGCAGTCATTGAAGCTCAGATCATTCTTGACGAGGCGCTGAATCCTTTGCTTTAAAAAGTCTGTCAGAATTTGGTCTCCTTTCTTCATGCAGATAATGCACACAGATTTTCGACAATCCTCATGAGTTTTTGCTGAATTGGGCATTTTTGATTCACATTCTACGAATTTTTCTTCAAAACTATGATATTTATGCAGCCCTTTCCCGGAAAACAATCACCGTAATTTTGTTGGCATTATTTTGGTGATAAGAATTTAAAAAAATCATACTGGTGTTTTAAAATACACCAAATACCATCAAATATCACTTTCTTAACCTTTTGATACTTGTTATATTTAGAAAAGTTGTGTAAACTTGTGTCAGAAAATTTTTTTAGTAAAAGTCACAGCGTTTCATTAAGATAAAACTAATAAAGTCAAATAAGTCTTGCGGACGGTAATCCCTGATTTCAAAATTACTTGTTATGAGATCCCTATCATATGTACTAACACCCCTCAAAAGGGTTTTCATAGAAGTTGTTTTTGGTATTAGGGTCCAAAATTTTCAAACTGTGAAGAACATTGATCAGAGAATGCTTTAAAATAGGGATTCAAAATAGCTGGTCAAAGTAGGTTTTTTATAAACATTTGTTTTGTGGTTTAAGTAATTTTAGCATTTAAGCATTTAGTTTAAGCTCTTCTATTTAAAATTGCATGCTGCCATCTTGTTTAATTGCTTTACTTTACCAAAATTACTTTTAAGCATAAAATAAGACTCCGTCAGAAAACATCAACGTGATGTCTTTTAAACAATTACGCATTATTTAAAATTCCATCTAAACTTATTGGTACAATAACATGTTTATCTACTGAAAGTAATTTATAATTTGTTAAGCAGTAAAAAAAGAAAATAAATACCACTTGTTAATAACTTGGTTTTATTGTTGTGTGACAACCCGAGAAGTAAACAATATTGACAGAATATTTTTTATATAATTTAAATACTGTCAGCATTATTGCGCCAAAATTGCTTTTTAATTAGGAAGTTACCAGCTGGAAGCTTTATAGGCTTTTAACAAATTATTAGAACAATATTTTTTAGAATTTTTTCAAAATTTGCTGACCAAGACTTGATTTTTGTATCAATTTAAATATTATCAATATAAGTTAGAATTTATCAACAGTTATATTTGTTTGTTTAGACTTTTAAATTCAAAATTATATCAGGGCTTTATCATTTTTAAAACGGTCTTAAAAGATCTTTTTTTAAGTCGAAAACAAAAGCATAAATAAGATTTTGAAATTATTGGTTTCGCCGAAACGACTGGTTAGTAAGTGTTACATTTGTAAATAATTCAGTGACATAACACTGAAGTACTTACAAATGTAAGTTATTCAGCGTTATTGCAATTTTAGATGAGGAAGCTTTTAATAAATTTACTGCTAAACGAAATGATGTTGCACATTGTCCAGTACCTTAATTGGACAAGTGTCTTAACTGGATAAATGTCTTAATTGGAAAAATGTCTTAATTGGACATTTTAATTGGACAAGTATCTTAATTGGAAAGTTTTTTAATTGGACAAAATTGTAGACAATTTGGTCGAGCTATTATCAACAACCGCAAGGTTTGAATTAACTTGTTTTATCTCTAAATTTTTAAGTTTTGAGATAAAACGATTTAAAAAATAAAAACTTTAATTTTAACTTAGGTTTCAATAAAGTTGAAAAAAAATTAATTTGAGGTACACAATACAATATTTTCAAAAAGTGGAGATAGAACAAAATAGTGCTAATCTCGCAAAACGGCATCTTTTTTTGATGTGTGCTATTCATATCAGCAAGCAACGTCATTTTATCTACAAGGCGCAAGCACAGTGTCTAGTGTGCGTAGGGCTGTTTCAAGTAACTTGAGTACTTAAGTAATTGTTTAAACAAATCAAATACTTAAGTTATTTTTTGTTACTTTACTAAAATCAAGTAATTTTTTTTCCGAATTAAATCAACAGCAAATTGATATTTTATAAAAAAATTTG